GTGATCAGTTGAAATTCAATCGATGTTTCAGTGTATCTTTGCTTACAACTTGCCTCATGCTGGTTTATAGCTAGGCTTATTCTTCGACCCTGAAGATGTAGACGACTTATTGTTCCGAAACGTTGATTGAACTTCAAAGAACTATGCGGCGTTTTATCCCTGAATGTGGGACTAATATTTTCGCTCCGAAAAATATTAAACTGCTTATACTCGAGAAGCCTAGAAACGCTTTCAAATCTTTGCGTAAAATTCCCTTCATTTCTGTCCAATGTTAAAGAAAACTGGAAAGTGTCGACACATTTTAATAATTCTGCCTAATTTAAAATTGAATGACTATGCGTTCAGTAGTTGCTAAGTTGTTACATCTGAAGAGACGGACGGGCGGGCGGGCACGCAGGCAGGCAGGTAGGCAGGCAGGCAGGCAGGTAGACAGACAGAAAACGCTAGCTTATGGGTGCGTCTTTGAAGCTCATTTGTTGCGAACCACCAAGAAAATAGCACAAGTGCACGTATATTCGTGTCACTTTTGTAAGAGAAGAGAGAATCATCCATCGCTAGAACTCGGTAGTTCAGTCAAATATCAAGAACTTCTCAGAAGACCTAATGCCACCTACTTCCCTTCGCGCATTTCAATCGGAGTATATTATGATGCAGCAAAGAATTGTAACGTAATATTTATACAATTCATTCACGACTTTCATAAATTAAGATCATACACTTAATCACACGAATACAGTCTACTGCGCTCAAGTCTAGGGAAAATATGTGAATCAGTACCTACGTACAACACCTGAAAGTTTAATTCAAACGTGTGAACCCGAAGAGATGGAAAACTATGTAATATTTGAGGCTTTCACGGCGGTGACTATGAAGAAAGCAGTCTTTGGGATTTGGCACCGTGTATATGTGGTGTTAACCGACGTTTCGGAGGAACGTCGGTTAACACCACATATACACGGTGCCAAAATCCCAAAAGACTGCTTTCTTCAGATGGAAAACTGTTTACTCTGAGCCTATATATAGCTACATGTTGCCTGCTCCAGCTCTCATTCAGTATCAATAAAGTGAAACGTTGCATGTCATGAATATCAGCCGAATGTCCGACATACGAGTAGATTACAGATAGAATGCCATAGAATAGTGTAGAATATAAACATAAACCAAAGTGGCTTATATCAATAGAGCGCTAGCGACATTGACCGACTAATGTACCTAACGAGATGTAGGATTCCCAGTTTATTGATTAAACCGGCTACAATAACGAAGAACAGACATTACGGTTATGTTACGTGGACAGTTACAAGAGATACTTTGTTGTGAGATGGCAAAAAGATAAGTGTGACAGTCAGAGCGTGTTCATACTGAGATCCTAAATATATATTCTTCATGTTGTCAGCCATTAGTAACACAGAAAACGAGTTTTATTATTAGTTGTAAAATAAAATACATGACAAAGGGAAGACACCTTCATATCAAAATAGTAATTACCAGGCCAGACATAAATGCTTAAAGAACAAACCATTTTGCCTTATGCTGAGTCAGTTGTATTAAAATACTTCATCACAGTTGATTTTTTATTTTACATCATTTTCCCATCTCAGATTTTCTAGTTGAATTCTGAAAAGTTTTTCCACCAGAATGCCGCTGTCCAGTTTATAGGGCTCACAATTTAACAAACCTAGCGAAAAGACAAGAGCATATAGCATGCATACATTACAATATATTTCTATCTCATGATTTCAATAGATACCACTCAATAATTGTGAAGAGGAAGTTGCTAACAAAATACTGAAAAAGCAGATATGATGCTACGTTTATCTTGTCTTTGGGAACACTAGAAATCTCCGGGGATCATGAAGGTTGTGCTTGTTTCTGGTCACAGAAAGACACACCACTTTTGGGAGAAAATTGTGTCATACATGAAGGCGACTTATTCTTCAAAGCAACGAACAGTCTAGCATATTGAGACTGCACGTGTCCTGAACTTTACCACCTGTGCGTATCAATTTCCAAATAAACTCTAAAGGGTTCTGTCAAAGGTGTATAACACTCGGGATTACTGGGTTTTGGGACTTTGTCCATCGTCCCATATTCTGAGGAACACTATAGAATACGGCGTTTCGGAAGATGGATCTGCTTCCATCCTCACGTGTGAGAGTGGGAGACACCAGGTGATTCAGTTTCCGGAACATTATGTTCTATGGCGTTAATTAGAATACCGGACGGTGGACAGAGTCCAAACCCCCAGTAATCTCGAGCAGTTTCCAAAATACACTTCTAAGCAAAAATTTAAGGTATGCGCAAAGATGCTTGAAATTATACTTTTATTTACTGATTTATTCACTGACACTGTTTCAGTGTGATTCCCGACCTCTGTCTAAAAGAAAACTTGATGAAGGCTCTTCTGAAATCTTTAAGAATTGCGTGACGATCCTCAGCAAATAATATAACGCAAAGCGCGAAGTACATTTTTGCCTACGAGAGCTTTTATGGATGTTTCCACACAACAATGAAGTAATCTGTAAGTACATCAGTGTCAAATATCAATACTTTACGAGTAACATATTTATTTATTACAATAATTGGAATTACTTTGGCTTATAGTGTATTTCTTACTTTCTGTCGTGCTGCACAATATGTTTATATACTTTGATAATAACAACTGTCAACAAACAATGGTAAAATGGACTAAATAACAATTTTAATAATATACTTCACGCAGTTTCGCCACTGAGATATCAGTGAGTCTATTTCGACGGCAATTTCCAGTCTTATGTCAAAACTGAATGACCCCTCGATTCATAGGGTAGGCAACCATTAGTACTGCTCTCATTGTAGCTTAGTCCACGAAATCTGCCCTAAGACTTTCGTCCCTGTGGCTCGGTAATTTTTAAACCAATTCCATAGAGCAAAGCCCTTCTTTAGAAGTTAAGGGTCGCTCAGCTAGCCGAGATATCCTGCTTTCTTGGAAGCAGAGGGTTCAGAATCATGTTCACAGCAACCCTCTAGCGGTCCCTGCTATCATCCAAATGAATCAGATGTACATCTTAACATGCTGTTTATTTAAGATCGATTTTATTAATATCCTCACATCTCTAAAGTCTACCAAATTACTTCTCCCCCGCTAAATTTTCGAAGATATTTGCGTCTATTCCATACCCAGTCCACATCATTGTCCTTCATCTGAACACTTAGGGGCTCTTCATGGGAAATACGGAAACTTTCATCTATCCTTACTTGGCCATATTAGATAATGATATGTCTGCTGCTACGCTTGCGCTAGCCGGGGTAGCTCAGTACGTAAATCGATTTCGCTACGAGCTGGAGGACGGAGGAATTTGAGTTCGGTTCCCGGTAAAGACAGTCGATTCTTATCTTCTCTACAACGTTCCGGCCGGTTCTGAAACCCAGTCTTCTGTACAATGGACACGGGTTGGGGGGGGGGGTCTGTCTTCCCTGGGTAAAGAGAGATGGGTGTGAAGTTGACTAGTCACCTCCATCTAGCGCCGAGGTTTAAAAGCTCCATTCCCCAATACGTCCTCAGGCCGTGGTGCTTAATTAATTAAGTACAGAGATGTCTTTATTGATAAGTATCCATTCGTCATGTATAAAATATACTTCCTTGAGAATGGCTTCCGAATTTAGTTTCGAAACCACTGTCGGTAATAAAATATTTTTCATTGTGAAGTTCATTCGTTCTTTCAGAATGTCTATACTTCTTCTTTTTCTTTTTCTTTCATTCCTATTGCTCCTATTTGGAATACAGGGCATCCGTGAAACTATTCGCTTCACTTAAGTTTCTTAATCCAAGACATTCGGTATGATTCCTTGGATGGGGTAACAACCCGTCGCAAGGCCCCTACCCAATACAAACACAGAATAAATGCAGACAAACATCCATGCCTTGAGGGGGATTCGAACCAACGATCCCAGTGTTCAAGGGGGTGAAAACAATTCATGCCTTAGATCGCTCGGTCAGTGTGACCGGCAAAGCCAGTACTAAGTACAAAGCAAGCGAACTGAAATTAACTCTCCATGGAGAATACAGAGAAGAAAGAAGAGCACATAAAATCTTAAAGTTTTAAAAAAACTAGCTGACGTTTTGGTTTGGATGTATTATTCGAAAGACACAAAGTTCAGATCTCGTCCTTCGCCACGTAACCTGACAGAGATCTTCAGTGTTTTTCTTCAGTCCTAGTGCAGGTGTAGCTAACCACAGATAGGCTACGACCATCAACTTTCAAGTTCATATCTAGCCTTCAGATTCGACGCCATATAATCATTACAATTACAATATCGTTTTTGAGTAACTTGTGAATCAATCATAAATCATACAGTAGTTAGATTATATTTCTACATCATGGACAAAGGTAAACTCAGATGGGATTTTGAAGGCTCTTCGTGTGTATAATGTATTATACAGAACACATAGTAAGATGGTTCTTCACTAACTTGCTACTATTTGGATATGAAGTAAACCTGACATGGCATAAAACACGTCTGGTTTAACGATAATACGCAGTAATTTATGTGTCACATAGATTCTATTCTACATACCCTTCACAGGCAGAAAATATGACTAGCTAATTGAATAGGGAAGTGAAAGCAAACATGAACTAAAGTGGTGTAATTCAATAGCATGCAAGTAATACTGACGGGACGAGGTAAATAACATCTTTGATTCTCATTTGGACTGATTCAGTAGAAGAAACTAAGTACTTTCGTCACTCATGTCCCGCAGTCACGTTCTCACTAGCCTGTAGGCACTCTTGTAGTAGAAACAAAAGCAATAAGTTCAGTTATTGGTAAGCACATGTTACATAAAGCTTACTGATCTGAAATGTAGATAGATATTCCATTGTTATCAGAGGAACACTGTTCAATTTCTGTGATGATAGTCTGCTGCATGTTTAGGTCAGAATTTCCACGTTCCAGTGTAAGGTACCCTCATAGCACTCCAGTTAATGTCGTTTAACATGGAATATATATTTGCATTTTAGTGAAACCCGACTGATCTTGGAAGTAGCTAACAAAATGAGGAAGAAGAAAACGATCCGAGTTGTGAATTCTGTTTGTAATATCAAGTCTCCAGCGGTCGCTCCAATTCAAGTCGACGACAAGAATCGCAAAGTTTCCTCAGTTGTAGAGAGTCTGTTTCTTCCTGGTCAACAAAGAATAGGACGACTCGGCATTCTTAACAGGTAAATGCGTCAGACGTATGCATGTTCTTTAGAGGGGCTATCAGTGAGACGTGCGTAGAACTGCATTGTCCTATGAAACTTGGAACCCGTAAGCAGTGGTTACCAAACTTGTGATCATCTTCAGTTTTACTTATTTTTCTCTTTATATCTTATTTGTGCGTACTGGAGAAAGTCCTCATACTCTATATCCCCACACCTTCTGTTCCACAGTGACGTGTTCCGCAAATTATTCCAGGCATTACTAAGTTTATTAAATTGAAATTACAGCAGCCAGCATTCAATGTGAGAAATCGGTGAAGGGAATCCTGTGTAATGACGTATTTAATATCCTAGGATTATTTAGATTGGAGTTCTGGTGGACAGCTCAACGTAAGAAGAATGCCTTCTTCTGGGATGTGGTTGCAGCAACCTGCTCACCCTGAACATGGGAAGCGATACGTTCCTCCGAAACGCCGCTTTACACAATATCTACACTAGGCTACATTCCAGAATACGGTATTCCTCATAGCCACCGCAGTGAAAACCTCTTATCTTATGTAGTTCAAAGTAACATAGCCAAGTCGCCCATCAGATTATCAAAGTCTCATCGTCATGTCTTATCAAACAATACTCACACAAGTGACCGAGCTTTGTTGAAGGACTAACGGACGCACAAGAACCTACACGGACTGTTGGTAACATAAAGAGTTTCACAAGCTGTAGTAACAGAATTAAAATGATAAGCAGTATCAGCACTGTACATTCAATATTACGTAGTCCATGACTCGAGAATCTGCGGGGTTAGTTACATCAAAGCTCCGGTATATGCATAAACAATTCCCATGAGTACCGAAGCAGGTAAAATTAATATATTAATACTGAAAGTATTACGAAAGAATTTCCCGTATTATTAGCTTCGAAACCATCTTCTTTCCCTTGTCATCTAACATTACGCTTCTAGACCTTGCCAATAGAAAAGACGGCCCTTTGATATGAAGGGCATGCGCGGATATGTTGAATTAAAGGGAGCCGACTTTCCAGCCTGGGTTACGTTGAGAAATTAGCATATTTTGAAATGTTACACATGGCTTCACATTCGATGGTCTCTTCTGAACACGATAATGAACATTCGAGTACCGTAAGACGATAGGAATTTCCTGGCGGCTTCTTAAGGACTTTGTTCCGTGGAATTAATTAATTTCCAAACCTGCAAGAATTATAATTTATAAAGCATATTCTCCACCGATATGATAAAATGGAATGTTAATGTTTAGATTAAACATTATATTTTATATGTACTAATTTTGTGTCCCTAATGTTTACGGTTTAACATCTTCCATTTTACTGTACAGGTTATATACGACTGTGGTTCTCATAGCGTGCATCGTAACTGCCGGCGTGTTCGTGACGAGAGCGTGGGATAAGTTCTCCATGACCCCCATCGTGGTAAACGTGGAGACCACGAATTATCCGCTCTACAAACTGCAATTCCCTGCAGTTACCATCTGCCCTGCGAACACTGTCAAGAAAACTACCGGCGAGGAGCTGCTTTCCAGGTACAGATCTCACGTTCGTAATCCAGCGCCGAAATGTGTCATTCGGAGTGCGCCGGTGCGTCACAAGTAGAGCAGAGAAGGATGCGGGCCAATCGTAAGCTGTTTCTAACCACTGAAACAAGTTCTCACTATCTCGTAAACATAGAAGGAAACGAGAGAAGAAATTTATACTCCAAGAAGAAAAAGAATTTTTAAAAGCTTTCCTTGATAAAATAATACTTCATTGGTCGTCATATTAATTTTGAAAAATGCTATTATTTCAAATACAATAAGTACGTAAAAACCTCTGTTATATACATATATATGAAACTTCGTACAATATGTAACTGCTTTCCAACTACATTTCATTAAATATTCATTACATCGAAAAAAATTTCAATTAATATCAAGGGGCTTCACGCTGTGCAGGTACCTGAACATGAGTCTAGATAGCGAACTGCGAAAGGATCTCTGGAACTTTATGAGTGCCCTCGCCAAATGCCAGTATCCGTTCTACTTCCGAATGCAAGAACATCTCCAGCAAATTCACAGCTTGCTTCCACAATTCGCAGACTTCAACGTGTCTCGTTTCATGCTCCAGGTACAGTGTTCAATCCTGCTTCTTCCGTAATCATGGCATGGACAGTTACTTCAGAACGCCGTACAAAGAGAGATCAGTAGATCAGTAGATTATGAAATTACTGTAATTTTCTCCTGTGCAAGTCAGGTTATCTCCGGATACTATATGCAAATAAAATTTTATGAATAAATATTATTAATAATAAAACTGTATTTTAAAAAATAAGCAAAATATTATAGGGGGCACGCGGTAGCGTAGTTAATTGAGGCACTATGCTACAAACCGGAAGGTCGCAGGTTCGAATCCCGTTGAGGTCATTGGATTTCTCAGTTGACCTAATCCTTCCAGCGGCAATATGGTCCTGGGGTCGTCTCAGTCTCTAACAGAAATGAGTACCAGAAAACTCCCTGGGGATAAAGGGCGGTCGGTGAATAAGGCTTACAACCTCATCGCCATCTTTGAGCCGATTTTCTAGAAAATGTGGGAACATCAACGTCTCTCAATCTTATGGGTCTCCACGGCCTGTTACACAGAGAGCTTTACCTTTCCTAGTGGTACCACATTTCTGAAGGGATTTACCTCTAAAAAATAACTCATACGTCTCATAGAAGCGCTAAATTATTTGCGAATTAGCGGGATAGTGGTTAGAGCTGCATCTTGGGGAGGAAGGGAGGGCAACACAACATATAGCCCACATACACCAGGTACCCTACCATCATTATCTGTGTGTATGGTTGGTAGCCTTGACCATTACGAGTTATGTTGATAACGGCCGAGTTTAAAAACACGGATTCTACATAGGCTTAGCTCAAAATATTTTGTAAGAATCAAGGTCCGAGGATTCTTGTGATCTTTCGTAACAAGCTTATTTTTTATGGTGAGGAGTTTTTAGCCCCACACAACCCCCAAGCTGGATGACCAACCTTTGTCGGCTGTCCCGCGACTGCTTATTCAATATATTCGCAGCTACCCTCCATATCAGGAGGCCGTGTTCACCAACCGCAGCCCAAGGACAAGCCATACCGTGGTGAGAAGGGCGCAACCTAACATGGTAAAAATAAATAAATAAATACTACGATTACAAAACTAACAGACTGAGGAAAACAGTTTTGCTACTTCTACGTTCAAAGCCAAGTTATGTTACGTAGGTGTTGCCCACGTGCTCGGAACTCATGGACCGTTGTTTCTGGATGGGAAATGAAGTGAACTGCTGCGAAATTTTTAATCTTCAGAGGACAGAGGCTGGTTTCTGCTACTCATTTAACTCACTCACATCCGAGAAGACATGGAATTGGTGAGTTCTGTTTGTAATTCACTAAGTTCTTATAAGCTCCCTCCCACTTAACTCTTACACCTGAAGAGACATACAATCTGTGTGTCTTATTTGCAAGTGAACACACAGCAGTGCAACACTTCTTATTTAGGCATACATAAATTATTACAAGCTTATATCTATGACAGGCGATCAGGAGGTTAGACCGCCTACACGCTGAACTCAAGTTACAAATTCACTGTACATTTGCCTGCGTTGTGCTTAGATATGTCACCTTACCCGCAATCTGGTGACTGCCTCAAAGTCGTCTGATTGGTAACTAGACAAGCTCTATGATTAGAAAATGCGAAATCTGAAATCAGAACTTAGTGCCAAGTTCATCATCTCGTTACATATTTAGTCTGAAGCTATAGACGACTGACTGAGGCAGTTCCTATCAAGTAGCGTAGAATATAAACAGCGATATAGAATACGTGATATCAACCGGATGAGAGATAGTATTTGTCACATCTTCTACTAACCGGTACTGTCCAAATAACAAATACTCTAATGTATAAAATTATTATAAATTATATTTTATAAATATGTTATGTCTACTAAACCCGGCAAGCAATTCCATATCTCAGTGTAATAGATTGAAATGAGTCGGAAATTTCTCATGAATTGATTTCGGCGGCTGTGTTTCAGTACATGAAGCTGAAAATAGGTGAAAGGTGAAGTTTTCATGGTGGTGCTATAAGACTGCTCTTATGCGGGATATGATGCAATATAATCAAGTAGAAGAACATTATCAACGCTTCGGGGAAAGCTGCCGTCTCCTTCTTTACCATATTTATGGAAGCACAGGTTCCTAAAATATGATGGTATCGTTCTTCCAGCCCTTACGGCAACATATCCCATAGGAAAACAAACTTCTGAAAAATAAAATGTGGTGAGATAAAATGACATAACCTCACTTTTCTCCAAATTGCAATATTTTTATACAAAATTTCAGGATCAATATTGCTACTTTCACATGTTTATTACACTTTCTATTGAACTAATGTCCACTTTCGAATATAATTTACATGAGTCTTATTTCCTTTCGGGAAAATTGATTGCTTATTCCAGTGAAGGAACAGACGAGTTTTTCCGACCTTCAAAAACTTACAAAGAGAGCAATGAATCCAGCAAATGTGAACCACGTCACAACATCGCTTCCGGGACAACCACGGGATTAGAAGTGTTCTTGAAGCCTTCAAAACCTGAGGACTCACTGCAAGATGGCCAACGTGACAAGGCTGGGACTAGGGTAAGTTATTATCACAAATATTACACGATAGTAGCCAAATTACACACATTACATTACATACATACGTACTCTCGCGTGTTTGTTAGGTAACACGGCAAGAAATTTGTGCGGGTTCTCGGATTTGAATGAATACTTATTGGACACTCACTCTTTGCACTCGCAAGTATAATTTTTTCCACTTAGACACTTTAGACGTTTCTTCTCGAATGTTAAACACCCTTGCACCGTTATTCTTGGTGAAGTGTTTTCTGCCCTGCTCGCAGCTCAACGATCCTTGATCCCTTGTCGGATACAAGATCTTCTGCTCTAGTAGGATAAGAACGCATCTGCACTAGTCGGATAAGAACTCTTCTGCTCTAGTCGGATAAGAACTCTTCTGCTCTAGTCGGATAAGAACTCTTCTGCTCTAGTCGGATAAGAACTCTTCTGCTCTAGTCGGATAAGAACTCTTCTGCTCTAGTCGGATAAGAACTCTTCTGCTCTAGTCGGATAAGAACTCTTCTGCTCTAGTCGGATAAGAACTCTTCTGCTCTAGTCGGATAAGAACTCTTCTGCTCTAGTCGGATAAGAACTCTTCTGCTCTAGTCGGATAAGAACTCTTCTGCTCTAGTCGGATAAGAACTCTTCTGCTCTAGTCGGATAAGAACTCTTCTGCTCTAGTCGGATAAGAACTCTTCTGCTCTAGTCGGATAAGAACTCTTCTGCTCTAGTCGGATAAGAACTCTTCTGCTCTAGTCGGATAAGAACTCTTCTGCTCTAGTCGGATAAGAACTCTTCTGCTCTAGTCGGATAAGAACTCTTCTGCTCTAGTCGGATAAGAACTCTTCTGCTCTAGTCGGATAAGAACTCTTCTGCTCTAGTCGGATAAGAACTCTTCTGCTCTAGTCGGATAAGAACTCTTCTGCTCTAGTCGGATAAGAACTCTTCTGCTCTAGTCGGATAAGAACTCTTCTGCTCTAGTCGGATAAGAACTCTTCTGCTCTAGTCGGATAAGAACTCTTCTGCTCTAGTCGGATAAGAACTCTTCTGCTCTAGTCGGATAAGAACTCTTCTGCTCTAGTCGGATAAGAACTCTTCTGCTCTAGTCGGATAAGAACTCTTCTGCTCTAGTCGGATAAGAACTCTTCTGCTCTAGTCGGATAAGAACTCTTCTGCTCTAGTCGGATAAGAACTCTTCTGCTCTAGTCGGATAAGAACTCTTCTGCTCTAGTCGGATAAGAACTCTTCTGCTCTAGTCGGATAAGAACTCTTCTGCTCTAGTCGGATAAGAACTCTTCTGCTCTAGTCGGATAAGAACTCTTCTGCTCTAGTCGGATAAGAACTCTTCTGCTCTAGTCGGATAAGAACTCTTCTGCTCTAGTCGGATAAGAACTCTTCTGCTCTAGTCGGATAAGAACTCTTCTGCTCTAGTCGGATAAGAACTCTTCTGCTCTAGTCGGATAAGAACTCTTCTGCTCTAGTCGGATAAGAACTCTTCTCTTCTAGTAGGATAAGAACTCTTCTCTTCTAGTAGGATAAGAACTCTTCTCTTCTAGTAGGATAAGAACTCTTCTCTTCTAGTAGGATAAGAATTCTCCTGGAGGTGAGTGGTTAACTTCACACCCCGGCCGCTTTACCCCCGAGGAAAGAACTCCCTGTACCCATTTCTTAGGAGGCTGGGTGGGCCCCAGAACCGGTCTGGACGAAATGGAGAAGCCAAAATTCTTGACCCTACCTGGACTCGAACTCAGACAACTCGGTCGTCCAGCCCGTACCCAGTCGCTATACCGACTGAGCTATCCCGGCACCCGTATACGAATCATAAGGGTTGCATGCAAATGTGAATAAGTGAATATGAAAATGCTATGAGATAACACGTGCTATCCAGCTGAGCACGACTCAGCCATTAAAACTTAGAACAGTCTGAAAGAGAACTGAAGCCTGTCTCTCAGCTGACGTTGACCTTACGCTTTTAGTTCATTTTGCGGGGACTGTCTTGAAGCTGCAACTTCTTGCATTGTTCGCTATTGTGCTACCTTGTCACCTTTATATGTGTTGCCTCTATGACAGGTTTCGACCATATAAAGTTATCATCAGTTAGATAATTTTAAGTAATTACCGCACGTTTTCCTTCTCCTAGCCCAACGCTCTAAAACTTTGTTAAAACTAGCTCCAGTTACTGTTGAACTTCACAAAAAATACTTAAAACTTATTCCGTGATAACTACGGAGACCTGAAAACCCAGTGGAAAAAATAAATAATGAGTTTTAAATAATTATAAAGAAATTCTATAAACCTGGAATCAGATGCAACAAAATTTCAGAAAAATGGACTACAAAAACAACATGTGCAACAATCACTAAAACTGTCTATCTCACAACTACCTTTATAATGTCGAAATATATCGTATAAGTGACACATATAAAACGGCGATAATGTCGCGCACCAACAGTCCACAAACAGCGAAAGAAATTGCACCTTCGAGACTGGACCTGAAAATTAAACCATTAATCAGTGCAACAGGGTTCTGAAATATAATGCTACGAATATTCAACTTTGAATAAAGCAGTCTTCTGGAATGCGGCGCAGTGTAGATATTGTGTTAACCGACGTTTCGGAGGAGCGTATCTCCTCCATCTTCAGGGTACAAGAAAAAAGAAGAAAATCCGTGAGCGAGGAACCAGCGTGAACAGCTGCTAACAGCTAGCACCTGCTCACGCCGGTTCCTCGCTCGCGGATTTTCTTCTATTTTGTTCTACCCTGAAGTTGGAGGCGATACGTTCCTCCGAAATGTCGGTTAACACGGCGCCACATTCCAGAAGACGGCTTTCTACATAGTCACCGCCGTGAAAACCTCAAATCTTACATAATATTCCGCTTTGTTTGCTCAAGGTTTATGTCCACCTTCCTGTCCAGTTGCCTGAGGCTGGGACCGGGGTCCTAATGCCCGAAGAGCAGGCTAAAGTGTTCAGTGTTGAGGTGACTCCCTCCGTGACAGAAAGCAGTCTCAATGTCCGGGCACTCAGTGTCTCTGAGCGCCAGTGTCTCTTCCCTGACGAGCGGCGTCTCTCAGTATTCAACACATACACCGAGAAGAACTGCCTCCTGGAATGTAGGCTCAGCAACATAGCTCGATTCTGTGGTTGCCTCCCGTATTTCTTCAGCGCACTCACAGGCATGTCTTATTCATACTACCTGTACTTCCAGAATGCAAATATGCATGTATTTAGTCAAGTTTCACGAAATATTAGTGTTCCACAAACCGATAGCTTAATTCTGCTGATCACGTGCCACCTTAATCATTAATCCTTCACTCAGACTACAAGCATATTCTAATCTTTTGCTGCAACGAACATGCTGATCCGGTTTCGTTTTAAAAATCTGTTCCGGCGTCCTTTGCAACCAGGAGAACATACTTCAAGCAGGAGAAAACTCCATGATTTTAGTCCGCAAGCGAACTATACCGACCGAGAGACCGTCGCTTGTCGGTGAAGATTAGTGCCAAATTTTGCGAACAGAGGGTGTCGCGTGGTCAGCGCAACAAATCTCCACGGTCGTTAATTTCGATTTTCTAGACCGGAGCCGCCATTTCCTTGAAATAGCTCCTCAATTATCAGCACGAGGCTGAGTGGACACCGTTCCCGACTCATTACTTCTCCGAAAAAATCTGGGTGCACCGGAAATCGAACCCGGACCTCTGGATATTTAGCCAGGAACGCTAACTACTAGCCCACATAGGCGGTCCAAGCCGGAGAAAACAATGATTAATTTGTATGCACGTAATTATGATAACTGAATTTAAATTGAACACACTCCGTAACGGAGAAATTGATCCATTAACTCAATTCTTTGATGTGTTTACATGAATAAAACCTAAAAAAATATTTCTATTTCATCAATATCATACCCAATTAATATCCATGTCATATACGAACAGAGTATGCCTACCCCACTGGCAATGTATTCAGACACACGAAATATTTGGAGACAAGCGTATAAATATATTCAAGATAAAAAGTTAAAAAGTTTCAGTTAATGGTCAAAATTTTTGCTGACACTAATCTCTTCTTGGATATAATGCCGTATATTCCGTTGAAATTCAACTGGCGTTTCGAAGGAATATGTCGGCGCCTCCTTCATGGTAGAATAATAGGCAAGAACTCAGTTTAAAAGCAGGTGGCAAGCATAGAATTCTTCAGCCCAGCGGATAAAGGTGATATGTTCCTCCGAAACGTCTGTTGTCTTTCAAGGACTACACAGGGTTATATCCCAGAAGATAGAACTTTTTAGAGCCACTGCTGTGAGAACCCCAGATCCTAAATAACTTCATATTTGTCGTAATAAGTTTATCACTACACTGCATCAACATGATTTTGTTCCTACATTCTATCCATCGACGACCAGAACTCACATCTGCCTCCTATATCCTCATTATTAGCTTCCACCTCTCGTCACAAATTCAAAAGTTTTCTCTCTGTTTTACTCTTTTCCTTAAAATGAACTGCATATCTCTGCTTCTTCCAGCAGACAATGTTCCTGAATGTAACTTGACACAACTTTGGTGCTTGTCAGATCATAACCGTAAGTATGACTCATTTGAACACAGATAATACCATTACAACAGCCATATGTGGATAACAAAGTAAATATTTCATACATTAAACTAAGAGACCGTTTCTAATTAAAACACTTATGCAACAAGCCTAAAAGAAAAATTATCCTACCGGTTATTCTTATGAGTTCACATCTTCTCAAACTTCATTATTAAGTTACTGCCTATAGGAGATGTTTCAGCATAAAATGGCGTGAAACATATCTAACGTTAGTACAAATATTATGGCTACGGACATTATCCATCGTTCTTCTTTATCTAGGAACACCGTCCTGTTTATTTTTCAAAATACAATGTTTCGGAGACTATATTCTGCCTCCGTCTTCAGGTGAAAACGTACTCAGCTTGGCCCATTCAGTAGGGCTATTCCCTATCGTTACTAGGCAACAGTAAACTCGCTCCCATAGCAAAGAATGAACATTCCACAGAAGATTTGTTATTCCTAGAGTCGTCTGAGAGAAAAAGATGGTCATGAGTCCTGGGGGGGGGGGGAACCTAGAATTACTGTGCTGGCGAAGGCCAATACCTATTTATCAGACCTGAGCATTTCTGTCCATAACTTCTTATATCATATTGTATTTCATTAAGTGCGCTAACATATTTCGCTGTACTATATTATTCACTTGCGTTTATGCTCCTCTGTGTAGTTGAATTGCGAATCATCAAGCCTCCAAAGGGAGCGCCAGGGTTCGAGAATATAACGGCTATTGACTGCGCTGATTGTCTGCCCACATGCCACGACAACCGCTATGACATCCACTACAGTTATAAAGACGATGGTAACCCATACGCCAAGGGCAGTGGTGGTTACCTGGATGTGTTCTATAAGGATGTCAGCGCAATTAAGTATCGCCAGCAACTGGCTTTCGATGTCATGGATCTGGTTGGTTAGTAACGTACACGTACATTATTGTCACGCGTCCGGGGTTCCGTGACGAATATTAACGGGTTCTGGGTTGGATGATTGGATTTATTAACACCTTCTTTTACAATCTCTGTTTATCATAATCAGTTATAGCGATATCGCTACTCTACCCACTTCACAAATCACTAGGACACTATCCGTTTCTTGACAACGGATTTATCCGAAGAACTATAACTTCAAACCAATAAAAAGGCTTCTTGCCATTTCTTGGTCAATCACCTTCTAGATTTCGACCAAGTTCTCCAATTCTAACTCTCTAATCTCCTCTTGCTATAAACACTCGCTGTATAGCCGCAGCACGGACCACATAGAACACACATTCTTCTATTATAAGAATTGTTGTACTACATAGCAAAGAGCTGTAGCATGGCCCATAGAGAACACTTCTCTCATTGTTGCGTGTTCGCTGGAACATGTATACTGAGTCGTTGCCTAGTAATGGGTATACACGTAACAGTATTAATGAAGCAACTATAGAACAAAACACGCCGAAATGTATACTTACAGTTTACAATGGAAGACAGGAAATCTTTTTCTTAATCTCCTGTAAAATTGATTTGGCAAAGTGTAAATATTGTGAATCCTGAAAAATGTCATCTGCTGGGATGTGACGCCGTGTAGACCTTGTGTGAGCTGACGTTTCGGAGGAACGTATCGCCTCTATCTTCAGGGTGATAAGTTCCTCCGAAAAGTCCGTTCAAACAAGATCCACAAGGCAGCACATCCCAGAGGACGGCATACTTCATAGCCACCGACGTGAAAAAATCAAATCTTATATATTATGGATTCTGTCTACTTAAATTGTGGGAAATGTTTAACTCAATGCAACAAAGCTCTTATTTAAAATGTAACAGCAAGTAAGCTAGTAAGTAATTCCCCTCCCCCTTACCAAACCCAAATTTTGCTACCGTTTTTACGGAAGCCCACCACTGTTTTCTCTCCTGAACCAGATGAATATGATTCTTTCTGTTCCTTTAGAATATTTTTCGAAGTAATTTCTTTCAATGTCCGCCAAATTTTTCGATTAAATTTCTTCATGAATTTCTCCTCTTTCCCATACGAGCTCAGTCCTTCAACCATTCTTACAATGATCATCCGGGAAGAGTAAAAATTATGAAGATCTCTTTCATGCTGTTTTCTCCAGCCTCCTGTTACTGCATCCCTTCTAGGTATTAACCTTCTCCACTCTCTGTTTTCAAACACATTCATCTTCGTTCCTTGAAAACGTTTTCATTTTTTTAAATGAAGCTGTAGAAAGGGAAGTCACCGCCTGGTTTCGACAGCAGCCCAAAGAATTTTATGCTGCTGGTTTTCAGGGGCTTTTGAAACGATGAGACAAGTGCCTCAGTGTAAAGGGAGATTATGTTGAGAAATAAAAGCATTTTTCAAATCAGTACTCTTATTTGTTTAAGTTCTATATCCATTTGTAACTTACTTATTGACTTACCTATGTATTAAAAATAGTCTGAAATACAGTTTTGCCAACTGAAACCCATCAGAAGTGAAGCGAAATTAGTTCCGTTTTCTAGTTTCCAATTTTACTGCATGTACTGTGGACTTTGCCGTTCTTGCCATCGAAGTTTTAGCTCATTCGAATGCATCTCTTGGGTCGTTACATTGCATCTCCCTGTCTCTCCTGTTTCAGTTTCCTTTGGAGGCGTGGTGAGCCTGTTTCTGGGGATCAGCTTGCTGAGTGTATTCCAGTTTATCTGCCTTTGCACTTTGCGATGTGTTATGGTCTATCAATATATGCGTCAACATACTGACATACACAGACGAGCGTGGATCGATTAGTGAACAAAATGTCTTATCACCTTGCTGCTGCAAATGGCGACTTTCATAAAAACTAGTAAAAAATGTTGTGACGATGTATAATGTCTAGGTTACAAAACTGATTGGCAACTTCAATAGTTCACCGATATGAAGTCGAAACAGTTCGAGAATATTCGGCATTCCGCTGAGATAAGAAGACATACACGTAGTTACCTCTCTTCAGACCATTGCGCCCAGACAATACCTGTAACTTGCGCATGTCTCTGTATGATAATGATGTTGGTGTTAATCTAGAAGAAGAGAGACTGATAGAAATATTTCTTATAAATTCTCCTTAGTTCTGTTCTTTGGGAAAATGTTATACGAATAGAATTATTTCCATACAAGTGACGTACAGAAATTGTAGTGTTCTTTAATGGTGCGTCTGTCTAATTTCTTTGTAGATACACGTTTTTGGTAACTTCATTTTACAGAATAATGAATAAATTTTGTGTTGCGCTAATTAAACTCTGAGGTTACAGAAAGAAGTCCCACTTCGTCCTACAAACGTCACACTTCTTCCTCGAGGGCACTTCCCTACGTTTCCCTCCAGTATTATACACATTCTGTTCATGAGAATACTGGTAAGGAAAACCATGTGATAATCCTAGCCAGCGAGAAGCATGTTCGGCTGTTGGAAAAAGTCGGAGGGGGCTTAAGAAGAGTACAACAAAAGGCATGAAGTAAGAAATCTTAATGTCGTCATCTCCACTATCCAGGTATTTAATTCCATGGTCTCAGTAGTCACTGAACACAGCCGACAGTTCAGCTCGCGCAAATGTTGGCTAATGTGCAAGAACTGTCATCCCTCACAAATACTTCACAGATTCGATATTAGTAGTGTAAAAATTAAAAGTGCACATACCGAATGGGTTGGTCTAGCGATAACGGTCTACGCTTGAATTCGGGAGGTGCTCAGTTGGTATCTCTGACAGGACACCCTTAACCTGACTCGAGGTTTAGTCGTTTTCCTCAGCCTATCCAGGCAAAAGTCCGGATGGTAACTCGATTAGGCCATGATTGTATATTCCCAAACGCACTCTTAATTATCCTACCATTCGCCACTGTATGATCTAGCTACTGGCAGAGTCGTAAAACCCGACATAAAATTAAATAAAGGAACATACGTATGTAATTACGAAGATTATAAGTTGAAAACTCAATAACACTTCACTCAAAAATATTTTTCTAAATAATATTCCAAGAGGTTAAAATTGTTCAACTTGTTATTTCGCTATAAATATAATAATTTTTAGAATGACCGGCTACTAGGTGAATGGTAGAGGAGTCAGAGCTCGAGCCCAGGTAAAAGCGAGATTTTTCTATTCACCACGTCGTCCGGACGGGTTCTGGGACCCACCCAGCTTCCTATTAAATGGGTGCCGGGGGCTCGTTCCCCGGGGGTTAAGCGGTCGGGCGTGAAGCTTATCATTCATCTCCAACTACTTGCCGATGTCAAGAACACGTTGATCTATACATCCAACCCCATACGCCTTTTTGGCAGTGTGCTTAATTAGTTAAGCACAGAGACAAATTTACCTTTATATTATAAATAGTATCACTTGCTCTGTTTCCTGTCAACTTGTAATAAATACAATTTACTTTTTCGTCTTTCAATTATTATTGATTGGGACATTTCAGTACATTGATAATAAACGTGTTTACGTTTGGTAATGATTTATTTGTCATTCGTTAGTCACAAGTTCCTGCTGGTCTATGAAAACTATTTTTGATACCATAAATACAGTTTTCTCGGTGAATGTATCAAAAACAAACTGAATAATATATTTGGTACGTTTTACGAATACCTTGCTAAGTACAGGGTGTTTCACAAGAAATTAATATATTTTGTCACTGATATTTCTATATAAATATTTGTTCCCATGTACCGTATATCAATTTCTGATATAATGTTCAAGTACAGTCTCGCCTTCTCAATAAGACAATTATGATCACTGAATATAACTGCAGTAAAATGACTTCTACAGGTGTGTTTCAGTAGAAGCGCACGTCATGTCTCGCATTGTGTTTGTGTCAAAAGTATGATGTATGTCTACATATACAATCCATCATTATATTAAATTTACACTAATTCGTCAGTCGTCAGCATCAAGCTTCAAAGTAATCAAACTAATTACTGGCGGTTACATCCATTTTGACAAATGCTCCATGTTTTAAAAGATACGTTATTATACAAAGATTCACACTAGTGACACTATGGTCTTACTTGTTCTTGCAAACATAATTTGTAATTCTTAATTTAATGCCTTATAAGTATAGGAGTGGAATTGGTTCCAACGGCAAGATATTCATAGTGATTTTCATAAAAATAGCGTTAATTTCTTTGAAGGTATTGTTATGGGACACACGCAGACCTTCACAATTCCGTAGGACTCTCTTATCTTGATAGATTTGAGGTTCTCACTGCGGTGACTATGAAGAAAGTAGTCTTCTGTCTGTCTGTCTAAAGTCTGTTAACACCTGCTCACGCTGGTTCCTCTCTCGCGGATTTTCTTCTTTTTTCTAACCTGAAGATGGAGGTGATACGTTCCTCCGAAACGTCTGTTAACACAATGTCTACATGGCGCCACACCCTTGAAGCCTGTTTTCTTCTCTTTTTCTATTATTTCCCTCCAAATACAAAGAATCTAACGAGGAAAGAGGTCCTTCTCTTTCAAGGCCATCACAAATGTGGGAACCTCATCATCTCTCAACCCTACGGGCCTCCAAAGCCTGTTACAGGAATATCATTACTTATATATATATATTTACTTTACATATTTTCATATAGAAGAAAATTTTCCGCTTTCATTATTTTGGGGTCTTCTCTTCTCTAGTCGCAGTAATTACACTTTCCTACTTGAAAAACTGTCGCATCAGTTTCATCGACAACCGTACGTTTGTCTGTTAATGAAATGCCCGTGAACGGCAAATTATTAGCCGTGTGGCATAATCCAGCGTACTTCGACTTCTCGTTATGGGTCTTCGTGAAGAGTGCCGCCTGTGCGACTCCTGTTACAGAGCACAATGAAACGCTAGATAGTTGAAATATAAGAGCCGTCAGCAAGTGAACTAGGGAATGTCGGATTTTGATAGAAATGGACTATCGCGACAATATCTGCTGTCTCATAAAAGGTGACACATGAAGCACTTGATAAAGATATTTCTAATGTAATAAGTTATATGGCTTGTCTTTCAGGTTTCCGCTTGGAGTAATATCAGAGCTCTGAACTTCTAAAATGTTTCATCATTGGCAAAATAGCCCTTTTTGAGCCATAGCCTATCTTGAAAAATTCTGCCAGACTTGCCTTGAACTGGACCATCCGGTTTTCATTTCTTTGGATTTCTGAACAATAATTTCTTTGCCGAACAAGGTTGTCAGGCTTGCTTCCAACCCCCAACCTGCAGAACTAGGTCTCTGTATTTATGTCCCCCACTGATAGGGTGGTCCAGTTGTACCCCAGGCTCCGGATTCTCTTCCCGTTGCTTTCTACTACTCACAGGGCTAACCCATATCGAAACTGCGATTCTGAAATTGTTACGAAATTTTTTAATTGCCCTGCATTTAACTGTCGTATATGGGAAACAGCCCTCTAAAATTTCAATTGGCTTTTCGTTTTCCTATGGAACGGTACATTATAAATTCATGAGCTAGTATTTCCATTATAGGGCAGTCGTTTTTGTCCTCAGAAGGAGCTTTCAGTAAACATGAGTAGATTATGTAATTCTCGAATCTCAAGTTGAGAATATTCTACCCCCACTGTACTACTGTACAAACTGGACACAAGAAACAATAACAAGTCACTTATCAGCCGTGTCAGAAGAAGCGATCGAATGAAGTCCAACCCATTTTTTTGCCATTCTATACTCATGTAAACAATTTAATAACAGAAAAGAATATTGTTGGTGCAGAGTGTCTGGTGCCATTACCGAGTAACTATTCGAGCACATAGAATGGACTGGACAGTTCCAGCAAATGTGATGTAAGTACTCCCAGAATGTGTACAACAGAAACGATAATGATAATTGTACTGAGATTTTCTGTGGCATAATTTACAGCCACTCATACTCTAAAACACGAATACTAGTAGCTTTTTTTTATTGCTAGTAGGGTGGGACTAAGTCCCTTCTACTGCGGTCACTTCTGGCCTATTGTACCAGCCCCGGATGATAGGTGAGGGTGATTGTGGAGCAATTGGTGGAATGAAGATTGGCAGGGGAAACCGAAGTACTCGGAGAAAACTTGCTCCAGCGGTACTTTGTCCACCACAAATCCTAATTGACCAGACCCGAGATCGAACCCGGGCTGCCGGGATGGGAAATACTAGTAGCATAATATGATTAAAGGTGTGTCTGTTGAAATGACCATTGCAGTGGTGCATATATATCATTACACAAAACCTTAAAACACTTTATTTTATTAGCATGTGTTTTCTGCCATACAATTCGATGATGGCACTGGAATTCGTAAAAAGTTCTTATCGCAAAAGTTGCAAAACTAAATAAATCGATGCTACGTATGTAGAATTTCAACACGACGCACCGAAACATATAATTCTGCTTACAAAGGCATTCAGAGGCATCATGAACTTCATAATGACAGTAATTTTTTAGTTTCAATTTTTAACACTCTAGTAATTATTAGTAAAGTCGCTGTCTTCAAGATTTCGCTACTGTAAACGCAGGTGTGACATAGAACCATTCTACGATTATGTATGGATTCAAATCCCCACTTTTGATGTTCTATGTACGCCAATTAGAAACCATTACTGTCCGCCTGATGCTAATAATTGTATGTCATTACTAATCACTTTCGCTTTTTATAAAAGAAGTTTTATACGCATCTGTTTCATGCTATCGTTGCTGGCGACTTGCTTCAACTGGAAGCGTGGCCTGCTTCTGTCAAATTTCCACTATTACTCGAAACTTAAAGGAGAAGAGATTTACACTTCCACTCATCTTCTAATACTTTGTCAGTGCATTGAAACCGTCATCAGTAGTACCTAAACAAAAGGAAAAATAAACAAACTCCGTGGCTTGACTCCGCAAGCCAACTATACAGACCCAGCGACCGCCGCTTGTCGGCGAAGTTAATGCCGACTTTAGCGGATAAATGGTGTCGCGTGGTCAGCTCAACGGATCTCCATGACCCCTAATCTCGGTTTTCTAGACCGAAGCCGCTATTTCCTTGAAATAGCTCCTCAATTATCCTCACGAGGCTGAGTGGACCCTGTTCTAGACCACTACTTCTCAGAAAATTTGTTAGCGCCAGGAATCGAAACCGGACCTCCTCGTCTGTAGCCAGGAACTCTGACCACTAGACCACGGAGGCGGTCCACAGTAGTATCTAATGGGCTTAATTTTTTCTAAATTGATCAACTTTTATATTACTTTTCTCGACCTAGAAATTATGCAGTCTGATAATTATCACCCTCCTTTGGTTATTGATATCTATTTTCTTTTTTTATTTTCTGTTCACAATGAAGAATATCCCTACCATAAATCTGCATATGTTAATATAAAATATTCCCTCGACTTCTGACTGGTTTTGTGTGTACGGCACCACCTCTTTAGATGCTGATGTGGCCAAGCTCATCATGTCATGGAACAGACGATTCCAAGTGGCATTATCGCAAAATAGGAATTCCAAGATTGCTTTTCTACTTCTTTAAGGTTTTATATTGAGAAGAAGAATTACTTTTACAGATGTTTTAAGAGGCGAATTCCTAACGTCTTTACAACATATTTTCCGTTTATCGTAAGCTAGTTGAAGCTGTTAATAAGTCTGGCAGACATACACATAAATAGTTGGAGTCTATTGATTATATGAGATAGAGTCAGTAAATAGGTCACAAATAGAAGTAAAACAGCTGTATCAAAAGTATTTAATTTTCTATGGGTGTCACTGGATAGCAGTATAGTCCAGCTTCATAAGAGTTTCGATAGCAGATGCGCATGCGCATGATCAGAGGCTGGTTTCAGTACTCAAAATGGCGAACGTGCTTGAGGAGTATTCTACCGAAAGGTAGCATTCCATTATGAGTTTTACGTGGGCAAAGAATTCAATGCAAAGGATATTCATAAATAAATGTTTCCTGTTTACGGTGGGAAGTGTCTGTCGCGTAAAGCGATTCATAACTGGCTCGAAAAATTCTCTTAAGGACATCCGAAAGTCTCAGATGGTGCCCGACCAGGCGAGGAAGTGCCTGAGACAACAGTCAAAAGACGTTTATGCTTTAATAACCTAAATTCAGCTTCTATTCAGCTTGGGGCTGATGATAAGCATTTGGTCTAATTTTCATAATTTGATGATGATTCTGTTGTACATTTTAATGAACTTACGAGAGTCCCTGTCTAGATGCCTTCCTCGCCCTTACAACATTTTCTGAATTTTCATCTTTAGTGTTTTTAAAGCTTGTAAACGTCTGAGACCGCCTAAATACGTAGGAGCTGAGCATATCCGTGTTTTTTTTAAAGGTTGCTCTGATAGCATTGTACCTATTCTTAAATATATAATCTTAGCTCAGCAATATTTTTCTCCTTATTTAAGCAAGCAGCAATTATTCCCGTTTTCAGAAACTCAACAGTGTTCCTGCTATCGATGACCCATCTCTATCCTTAATACATTCTTCAAATTATTTGAAATTGTTATCATGACCGAGTTTCGCATTACCTGAAGTTTAAATTAAATTTCTGCCAGCGTATTTTCACTAAGTCTAAATATAAATCTACAATTACCAATTTGGCAACTTATCTTGACTTTATAGCCCCTTTACTCTGCTCGCAACATCAAACTGATGCCATTTATTCCGTCCTCAGCCGTGTATTTTATCTTATATCTCATAACCTGATTCTTCATAAGCTTAGCATTTTCGGACTTTGTGGCGCATACTGCAATATGTTTCGCAGTTACCTATCAAACAAGCAATCTCAGGTAATTTCCGGTGTTCCTTGAAGATCTCTTCTAGGACCCCCCACTTTTCAATGTATTCATTAACTACTTACGAGGCTGCGCCATAGCTCAAGCGGTTAGTCACTGGCTTCCCACCGCAGCGGCCCGGGTTCGATCCCGGGTCTTGTCAAGTGGGATTTGTGGTGGACAAAGTGACGCTGGGGCGGGTTTTGTCCGAGTAGTTCGGTTTCTCATGCCAATCTTCATTCCACCAAATTCTCCATCATCATAATCACCCCGGGCAGGCTACAATAGGCCAATCAGTGGCCGCAGTGCCGAGTGGACCCAGCTAGACACCACCCCCACTAAGCGAAACTACTTACGAGATGCATTTAATTAATCTAGGTACCTAAATTTTCTGAAAATATAAACATCTAGGGTGACATTAAATCTCCCGAAGACTGCAATGTACTGCAGTCTGACATTAATTGGTACACTGCCAGTTTTATGGAATTCACGATTAGTAAAACGAAAATTATATCCATTTTCAAGCAAAATCAGCATACTGATCTAAGAGCACAAATTTCTTTCAATGCTCTGTAACCCGTACCGACAATGTTAAAGACATGAGATTATTTCTGGTTTATAAACTTCATTTCCGCATGTATTTTCACAGTGTATAATGATACTGGGTCTAGTTAACCGCATAGCTTTCTCCTTCTTTCATGGAGTGTCTATTTCTAATACATTTCACTCTAGTTCAATCTAATCTTGAATACATCTCTCTTATTTGGAACAGTACTTTGCCTACCGCTGCCAACAACTGAAACGCACCCAGCAGAAATTATTTTAATTGTTCCTCCGTGTACGTTGCAGTTACGCTTATGTTTTATAACAACTAAATTTCCCACCTTACTTAACAGGAGGTACCACTTTAATGTACTTTTCTTTTTCAACTTTACTTTGGTTCTAAATTCTGTCTACCTCTTTTTGAAAACGGTCGGGCATCGAGTTCCTGCTAGGTACATCAGAGAACTTGCTATGTCCGTTGTCTGCTCCTCAGAATAAAATTTTTTCTCTGTTATATGCGCTTCGAATGAAAATCCTATATGTAGGGATGCTGACGTATTTAGAACCGAAACTGCTTCCTCAATCACATATTTTTTCTTTCTTCTTATTAACATACGAATTTTATGTAAGGTGAATGTATTTATATACTTTTTTTTTCCTCGCCGCATAATGACTGGCGCTACTGTATTTGTTGTATTTATGTTGTTATTGTTGCCTAGTTTTGTCTCTGTCTTTTTGTTTGTTTCTGTCTTTTCTCCGCTTAATTCACATGTGGACTGTTGAATAAGCAATAAAAAACAATATTGAATTGTATTTTCCCCCGTATCTGAGGGACAGGGAGTGAACTTTGCTTAGAAAATTTATCTTCTTGCCTAAATAGTAAGTACGAGTATAACTCCACATGAGTAGATAAGAGTAATCTATTCATTGGAATACAGACTTCAACGACTTAAGTTTATTGACTGATTAAGTGAGTAACTTAGTGACTAATTGGATTAATTTGCCCTTTAAGATATAATGTACCACCCTCTTAAACATTTAAATTACTCTGCATTTTTCCCACACGCCTGTCATATGTTTCGTATCATTCCCGGAATAAACAGAGATTATTTCTCTAAATATTATTAACCGATTGATTCTTTGTAAACGCAGCCTGTTTCCTCCGAGGTATGAACTGAATTTCTAAATATTCTTTAGGTTAACTTCAGACTCAAAACATTTAACCACGCTTTTCCAGCTGCTCTTGTTATACATCATCGAATGACAGCATGATTTGAGAATATTGTATCTGAAAGGACGTGTCAGGAATCGGTTGTACTCAGTTTTGAGATACTACACAAATTTTGAGCTAGACATATAAGAAAATACACATATAAAACTTTTCTCCGCTTTAAGATTTTATACCTGAAATCCCGAATATATGGAGCAGAAACAATAACAACTCGATAATAATGTTCATTTTGTAAGAAGATTCAAGACTTCGAAAAATGTCGAATTACACACACAGATATATACATATTAAGAGGCACTGACCGTATTCTGGTGCCGTTTACATTAACCGCGAGGTCTAACGTATGAACCATATTCGCCCACTCAAACACTGGGATCGTGGGTTCCAATCTTAATCTAGGCACGGATGTTTGTGTGCGTTTATTCTGTGTTTTTCTTATTCTTTGTGTAGTTTGCGGCCTTGTGACGGACAGATCCCCCGTCCAAGGTGTCCTACCGATTGTGTATAGGATGAAGAAACTGAAAAGGCAGCCAAGGCCCAAAGAGCCCTAGAGCCATAGAGCTGTATTCTTGATCAGGAAAATAAATTTTATAAATATCCTAGAAACTGTTACCTCTTTCTTATACAAAGGCTTATGGACACGACACTTGTGTTAAAAAAAGTGTATTTTTTGGCAGAAAGAAACGAAAGCCTATCAGAAGAAAAGAACAGAAAAGTTATCTCAGTCCTCTAGAAGTTCTGAAGGAATTCTCTCAAGAGAGTACATTCCATGGACTGCGGTATATCACAAGGGATTCGGCCACCATTTTTGATAGGTAAGAAATCATTACTAATACTTTCGCTACCTGGTAAGGAGGAATTGTTTACACCAGACCCCTGATCCAAATATTCACTTAAGACCTTTTGCCTCAAGATTTCTTTATGACCTCTGCAACACGACGCATTGACGTCACTAGCGTCAGTTGTTACACTTTTCCACGTGCTGCTCAAAAATATTAATCAGCATTCTAATGGGTGTCGCGAGTATAACAAAACGTTTAGGCTTAAAAGCATTGTCCTAGTGTTCGCACCAAGGTTACACAACTTTCCCGGATTTTGCATATTGTGCGAATGTCGCATTAGCATTTGGTGGCTTTCAGAATGAATTGAACTCCACAACTCATACGTATATATATGTTACAAAGTTGAAGTACATGAAGAATAAGGGGTTGTGGGAGGTAGAGTTACCGTTGCTCCGAATACAGAGAATATATCGTCTGCCAAAATTGTAAAATGTTTCACATAACAGAACGTAGAATATAAAGATAAATCCAGTAGAGGGATCTGCAGTCCCGCAGATCATAAGAATCGTATTACTGAAATAAAAACTTAACAGGGACTGGGGTACATATTCAGGAATTAAAACTTCAGCTCCAGACGCGTGCACTATATTAACAATTCTGCATTTAACCCAAGGATCCATAACTCTGGTCGAGGCAGGAAGCGAGTAGACGAATCCAGTATACAATCTCGCGCCTCATTTCTTTAAGCTATACAGGCATTTTAATAATAATTTCTCATCTACGCTATGTCTCACAAGTTGCCTCTTCCCTTCAGGTTTCCATCTGAAATTTTGTAAATATTTTGGAGTCACATTTCAGATTATGCTGGATTGCCGCCACTCTGATATGTGCTGTGGTGGGAGTAGTGTTTGTCATCTCGGCGTGGGATAACTTCTCCAAAGTCCCCATAATAGTGAACGTGGAGACCACAAATTATCCTCTGTACAAGCTGCCTTTCCCCGCTATCACCATCTGCCCTGCCGTCAACGTGAAGAAAACACTTGGTGAAAACCTGCTGTCAAGGTAGGCCCAACGAGGCAACTGTTCATTTCATCGTAAATAGAAGAGATTTACCTCACAGTGACACCCGTGTCACCAATTGACAGGGGCTTACAACTGCGCAGTAATCACCAAACACGCACATTTTGTCACCATGTCACATGCGGCTGTGAACTTGATTATTTCCCATGGGATTAATGAGCCGCTATCCATCATTTATCTCGAACTCTGAAATGCAGCAATTCTCACGCCAACGTGGAGAGTTCATTCCGTAAAACCACTGCGACTGCGTGAAACATGCCTAATTGGGAATTAAGGGTTAGGGGAACAACGGCTGTTGTTAATATTCATTCAAACCTAACTACGTTGCCTGTAAACAGTGTCACTTTAAGTCCTTCCGTAATTTTATTCTGGAAGGGAGGAAACCGATGTCGAGTGTTAATTGCAGCCCTGTCCATAGCAGATGTAAATCTCTTGCTGCTAAAGCCATTAATACGTGTTTCTTGTTCCTGTGAGAATGTGTAAAACTGTCTGGAAACCCGAATACAAATAGAAAAGAGCAGATACTTGAAAACTGCCTCTGGCGGTGGATTACTGTACCGAGTTTCCAGAATCTCAATCTTATCTGACCGCAACAAAAACTTTCCACGTCTGGGAGTTTCTAATTAAGACCGAAAGAAATAACTGGAAATATCACGTCCATATGTTTAAAGTTTTTAAAATATATGACTAATACCTTTCTAAAATAAGGAGTAAGTCGAAAAGATTACTATTATGTAAAAACATAAAAATACTTGAGACACACCTGCCCACGAAACGTCTGTAGAACTTCTAAACCCATAATTCGTGACGCTACTTGTGCATACTCACCTGTCTGAATTGTAATACTCACTCTAAGACGAGAAAGAAAGAAAGGAAGAAAACGTAATAAAAGAAACACGATTTAAATGTTTAATATTTAACATTAGCTACAGAATTTTTCATATTAGGCGTTTTTTTCGGAATAATATGATCTGAAATGCAAATGAACGAAACGTTTAAGCGGAAAGAAAATTTGTATTTTAACGCCTGTTCCATAAGTACATTTATTATTAATTTGAAAGTCATCATCATCATCACTGGCACGACAGCCCTTTGTGAGCCCTGGCCTTCCTCAGGATTGCTCGCCATTCTTTTCTATTTGATGCTACATTCCTCCAGTTCTTTACACCCAAAATTCTTATGTCCTGCCACACACATTCTTCCCATCTTAACCTTGGTCTTCCCATTCTCCTATTTCCTTCTGGTTTAGTATTAAGCATTTTCTTGATGGTTCTATTCTCGCCGGCACGTATTATGTGTCCAGCCCGTTGAAGCCTTTTCACTTTTATAAATCCAATAATGTCTGGTTCATTAAATAGTTTGTATAGCTCATAGTTCTACCTCTTCCTCCATATTCCAAATTTGAAAGTAGTGTCCCCAAATAAGTGCATACAGATATCCGCTATACTGAAAAGTATTCAAACTCTAGTGAAGACAAATGTGTTTACTCCTCTTCCCTTATCTGAGGGTGTACAGCGGTTCTTGGGGTGAAAGTCTTGTTAAAGGCAGCTTCAAAACTAGTTATGAGAAATTTGTTTCTAAACTCTTAGCAAGAAAGGAAACGTAGAAAGAAGAAAAGTTAATATTCATAAGAAAGCGTAGGAAAAAGAATGTGTGTCCAGTATTTGGCATACAGCCCTTCCGAAATGAAACAGAAGTTCCCATGTTCACTAGTATCAAAAAGAGAATTCTGATGGAGGCTATACAGGGAGAGTCAACAAACTGAAACAAATTGTGTGAAGACATGTTTTAAATAATCGTAATTGTCCTCTGAATTACTGGGTTTTCATATTTTGCACACCGTCCGGTATTCTAGAAACTAGAAAACCCGATAATTCTGAGTATTATACACCATCGACAAAATCTTTAGGATCTACGAACCGGAACTGTACATTGATACTTCCTTTAGCGTCAATATTACGTGAGCCATGTTTTCGCAGTCGTAACTTCTCAAATTTGAAGTCCCGTACAATACTGTGATACAGATATTTACAGCACTTATACAAGTAAGTAACAAGACTATTACATTGGCTTCTCAGAAGAGTTTGTAACTTCCTTAGGCGTCTCTTTCATTGCTGAAACATAGAATTTTATAAGTAATCCCATGTTATGAACAGTTTATATTCCGAAATAAAGAATTCTATCTTCTAGGGTATAACGCCGTGTAGTCCGTCGAAAGTAAAAGACGTCTTCCTCCGAAAAGTCGGTCGACTTTCAACGGACTACAGAGTGTTATATCCCAGAAGATAGAACTGTCCATAACTACCTCTGTGATAACCTCAGTTCCTATATATTCCGAAATGTTCGTTGCCTTTTTTTTTATTAAACTCGAAAATCTCTCCGCCACACATAATTAAAATAATGAAAATCAGTCCACAGTAGCCTGTTCAATCCATATTTAGCTAAAATTAGCACATTTTTAAATAATCACAATATAAAGCCAGTAAAGAACGAGAAATAACAGAAAAACAATCGAACTAAAAACAAATAGTTTTTGTGCATTTTTTGTACGATATGTATGAAAAGAACGCTGGTCGTTTTTGTTTGATTTTCTGTCAGTCCGTATGTTTCAATTCGAGAATAGCTGCATTGATTCTGACAGAATTTTATATGGATATTATGCAATTCTAAGATATCTTAAACCCGTACGTTTCAGTTCCTTACTCTCAAAAACATAAACATGAGAGATGCACAAACTAGACGGTGGGAGAAACACTGTCGAATCTAATACTGGGTCTTGAAATTACGTATATGTGATAAAAGAAAAATATATAACTGTTTTAAGGTCCTCTCAATTTTTTTCAATATAAGTCAACAAAATGGAGCTTCCTTGGAATATATATCTAACCTAACTAATGAACCATTGAAGTTAGGAACGTGGAAATCAGTGCGGAGATGGAATCGAACAAATTACTATGAATTCTGGTCCAAATGCGGTTTCCAAATCATGTTGTTGGTGCGAATCTATGATGTTATGTGCAGTAAATTTAAATAAGATCTAAAAGTTTGTGACGACATTACATTAGTACAAATATTACGTTTGTGTACATTATCCGTCTTCTTGTCTGTATCTAAAATGAAATAAATAGGACGGTGTTTAGGATAAAGACAAGACTATGGATAATGTCCACAAACATAATATTTAAACAAATTTAAATTCCTTACACAAACATAACAAGTATAGCCCTAGTACTTAGAGGTGACAGTCCTCTGACGCGAGGTAGGAGAAGTATTGTTAGTGGCGGGGGAGAGCTGCAGCATGCCGACAAGTGTGGCGGGGAATGCAGTACAGGCGTTCTCAAAAGGAAATAACTTCTTACCTCATTGTGTTGCATAGTGATGGTGGTTTATTCTCGTTGACATTCACACATCCGATGTTAAGTTTTAAGTGCCGAATGGCAGACTGTTTTGCACTATACACTATTATACACTTTTCACTGTTATATACATGAAGAGTTTATTTACATATCACACGGGTCTATTCTAAAGGGGCAACACAAGCAATGTCCGATTATTTTTTGTTTTCTTCCAGCGGAATCCCAGTTTCAAAATAATTTTCTTTAATGAGGGGATGCATCCCTGAAAATCTAACGTTTTCTTCAACTTTCATGAACTTTTTTCAGGGTAGGTCATTAATTGTTCCTCGCACCATAGACTCGTTAAAGTCGTCCAAAGTGGCTAGTGAAGGGTTCCTAGGTCTTTCTTTATGGGGTGTCGAAAAGGAAGTGGAAGCCCCAGATTCGATATTTTTTATTTCTCTTATTATTCTTCTGACACTACTTTCCAATACACCTGTTGCCTTTGCTACTTCCACTCCTATGTTCTTCACTGTAATTGTTGGCCCAGCCTCTTTCATATACTTATACACATTACTAACAATTTCTCTTGATTGTGAATGCAACACTTTTCCACTCAATTTACTTCGTGTAGGTGGCATGTTAAAGGAGATAGAAAAAATGTACAAATATAAATAAACAAAAAAGAAAATCAACGAATAAAAATACACAATAAAATAAAATATTGTCATTGTCACCACTTGACTTCTGGCCCAATACTTCAATGCGACGTCTCAGCTATCTTTTGCTGTGGTTGGATCTCAACTGTCTTCGGCAACGGCTATCCCAATACAGACTTCTTGCTGTCTTGTTGCTGTCTTCCGTCTCTGTAGCTCTCGGCTTATGTAGGTGGTCTGCGGACTGGATACCAGACACCATTTCTCACTCTTTCGTTTCTACTGTCCGCTGTTACGTAACGGGCGCAACGAACACTCTGTAGTTCATTTCTTGAGAGACACGTTCGTTGCTTCTGCATTCTCTACGCAACGGCTCCCTGTTCTTTGCGTTACCATGGAAGTGCCTATTCCAAACTCACGTGTTCGCCAATCCGTTGTCTTGGGAGAGCTCCTTCACAACGATCCGTTTGTATTCGATTTGTTGCAGTAGGAACTCAACAATTCCCACTGTAGCCGTTGCGTGGCGATGGACGTAAGGTAACGTGCCACAATATTAATACAGTAATTAGAGAATAATACACTTAATACGACTCCAAGAGTGAAAACTTTTTAACTTGACTGTACAAAGAAGAATGTTCTTGAGACGCCTACTCGCACTGAATGCAAACGAATGACTAATCACAACACCCCTCAACTTTCACAAATGGACCTGCCCATCCACTGCGCAGCTTTTCCTGGACTGTCAGCTCTAAGTACTAGAGCTTTACATAAATTGCAGTCAATATGTTTAACGTGTCATGAAAACTATCCGAAAGAGCTAGGAGCATAGATGCAAAGAAAGCACGTGGAAGCTCTGCGTACTCCTGCACTGATTACACCTTTCAAATCTTGTTCCCATTGGCTCGATTAACGGCATTGCTTCTCAGCTAAATTCTAAGAATCCTGCTTGGCTCACAGCTTTAACGAACTCCCACGCACCTGCGCAGAAGGCGACAAACAGTTTACTGAAGAGAAAACAGGACGTAAGGCTTAAAACCAGTTACCCTACGATCGAGCGAGCTAGGGTAAAGGAGCGTCCACATTACTCGTGCACATGCTCGTGCTCGTGCTCGTCGGGAGACTCGTCTGGCTTTTACTCGTGCTCGTAAATCTTCATCCACACTACTTCAGTTGCTCGCCAGGCTTCGGCGCGTGAGGATCCGTATATTTACTCATGGTGTGTAGAGGTTGTAGTCGTGTTTTAATTTAGTGGCTATAGTTTTTAAATTAAAAATATATATTTTGCTGTCTCGTGACTTGTCATATCGTCCACATTACTCGCTAGCATAGCAAGTCACACGAGCACGAGCACGAGTAATGTGGACGCGCCTTTACGGGAAAACTCTAGAATCATATTCGGGAGGTCCTCCATTAGATTCTCGGCCGAGACACCTGCTGTTTTAGCTGAAGACTTTCGTGGTGCTCCTCAGGCTCTCCAGGAAAATATAAGCATACTAAGTTTATTACGTCATGATGGGTGCGTTCCAGACAATTTCAAATACGTCCATCACCCTACTATTTGACCCCGTGTAATCTACCCTCTGATAGCGTCACGAAGTATCCCCTCAAAAAGTACGGTATCAGGAACAGTTCTCCGATGGAGCACTGGTTCGTTCTTCCCCCCCCCCCCTTGGCACTACAGTCCCAGTGGGCCTAGGCCTACCTCCATGAACTTCTCCGTTCACTTTCGGTTTTTCTAGATCTTACACATTCGGTAGGACTCCTTGGGCGGGTGATCAGCACGTCGCAAGGCCTCTACCTGTACACAAACACAAACTAAACATCCATGCCCTGAGTAGGACTCGAACCCAGGATCCCGTTTTCCAAGCGAGCGAAGACAGTACATGACTTAGACCCCTCGGCTACCGTGACCGGCCTGGTTCATTCTTATGAACTGGTATTTGTATCGTTAAATTATTAAAATAAGGAGCTAAGTACTAACTTGCTTCGGTAAAAATCTGTTATACGGAGGCACTCCGGAGCCAGTGATCGGTGCCAAAACCTGCTTCGAAATGTTAGGTTTTTCATGTTTCTTAAATGATTCAAACATGAGCTTACATTTCGAGTTATGTTTCTAAAAATTAGTCTGTAACTTGTTCAGCTAGTGCATGCGAAAATTAGAATGTTCACTGTTTCTTTCATATATATATATAGTATATAGTATATGGATTTTCTTAGAACACACGCAGCCATAATTTAAAATCTATCATTTTCAGGTACATGAATCGGACCCTCGACGATCACCTGCAGGAAAGGTTCCGGCATGTTCTAAGTGGCTTATCGGTGTTCCAGTTTCCATTCTACTACCGAGTCGGACCACACTTCAACCTGGTTAATGATCTCTTACAACAACTCAATAGCTTTACTGTATCAGAATTCATGTTGCAGGTGGGTGTATATCGCTGCGTGCCCGTGGTAAGCTTTCTTAGCCTAATTTCCATACTAAAAATATAAGGAAGTTTAGCAGGAATAGCGTAGTCGGAATAGCGACTGGTAGCGGGCTGGACGACCGAGAGGTCGGAGTCTGAGTCCCGGTATTGTCAAGAATTTTCTCATGTCCACATCATCCAGACTGGTTCTGGGGCCCACCCAGCCTCTTATCCAACGGGTACCCCCATCTGGGTCTGGTACAATAGATCAGAAGTGGCCGCAGTACAAGGGATTTAGTCCCACCCCACTAACAATAAAAAAACCAATCATTGTAGCTAATAAACATTCGAGCCTTGCTGCTTCTATTGAATACAGAAAACTTCTTGTCTCATTTAAATAATATTAATCCTTACAATAATAATTTGTCCTGCTTCTTCGAGTTGATTTACTGCTTTTCCCCTGTTCTCCTCGCCTCCACGTTTTCGGCAATGGTTGATTTGACATTTCTTCTGCAGCGCCTCGTCACTCCCTTTAAATTATTTCCCTGACTTGTCCACGCGTCACACACCATCCAATCCCAAAAGTTCGTCATCCTTTTCTATTTTTCCTTGAACTTTTTTTATTTATTTAAACAAGTATGTAAGCTCCGCCTGTCAGAGTTCCTGATGTGTTTATAAAATATTATATTATGACAAATGAAAATAAACAGTAGTAATTCTTATTTAAGATGCTTAGTTCCACAATTCTCTACAAGAACCTTCTTGAACAAATTAGAATATAACTTTCTTTCTTTATGAGAAATACTGATTTCGAATCTCGGAGCGATATTAAATATCACTCTATATTTTTCTTAATCCCGCCTGGATTATCGCTAGCAACAGATCCTGAATACAGATTCCAAATCCTTTCTAATCGTGATTATGCTTGCATCTCATTTGAAAGGACATACCCTCTGTAGTAGATACAGCGTCCTTTAATGCGTTAAAATCTAAGAATGGAATACACTACAGTATAAGCTATTGTCATAAATTCGTTTCTTCTTCGCTATGAATTCAACCTCTGACATTCGGCATGTTCAGTCATTTGTTGCTGTTTTCAGGTAACCAATCATAAAGCTAAAAAAAACCATCCCTGTATCAGGCCGTGAAGGCCCATAGAGTTGTGAGACGTGGAGGCTCCCATTTTTTCTGTAGGCAGTCGACTCACAGATGGTTGTAAGTTTGTCAGCTTTACGCACCGGCCGCCCTTTACCTCCCAGGAAGATTTCTGGTATTCATAGGCTGAGTCGACCCCGGGGCCATAGTGCGACTGGAAGGATTAGGTAAATTGAAAAGATCCACCACATCGGGACTCGAATCCGCAACCTTCCGGCTTGTAACATAGTGGCTAACCAGCTACGCTACCGCGTGCCCCGGTAACCAGTCATAAGTTTACAGAAACTAAATTTGTCTCTTACCGAAACGAAACTCGGCAAGACAAGGTAGTGTCTCCCTGTTAAAAAACCCAGCATGGAAAACACAAGAATCTGCATTAATTATGACCTTTTCTTCCAAATAACTGGTCTATCTAGCACACAGGAAATGAGGAGCTTCACTTTTCTCCTCTAGAAATAAACCCCACTGATGGTAACATACATAATGACCTGTTCCAGGTACTTCCTAGATGCCATGAGGTGTTCAAAGAGTGTTTCTGGACAGGAAATCGTGTTAACTGCTGCAACGTATTTCACTTACAGCGCACGGAAGCTGGGTTCTGTTACTCCTTCAACTCTATGACTTCAGAAATCACAAGAAACTGGCAAGCTCTATTGATTATTTTTATGTCTACCATAATAATAATAAAAATAAAAATAACATAATATATAAGCCCTATTATTCATATTCAGTAAGAACTCCTGCTTCGTGTTCGAAATATAGTGAATTCGGAGACCGGTTGTTCTAACTATAGTTGAACAAACCAAAGAATTCTCACAGGTGGTTGGGATAAAAATAGCTTGGAACACATGTTCCTCAATTCTAAAATCCTAGGTTCACCTGTTAGTCCCCTTTCCTAATGCTACTACCGAAAGAGTAGTACTTCAGATAGAAGTACAAAATTGAGTGCAGAGTAAGGGGAGCGTAGGAGGGGGGCGGTCTGTGGGATTTCTTTGCCCGGCTCCGGTATAAGATTCTTCGCGATTTGCTTTAATCGTTCCGGGGAATTCGTGCCGCGAGCGCTTCTTCTCGAATCCTTTCGTACTCATTATTCAGTACTGATAATATAATTCGACGCTATGTGATCCTAGCAACTGAAAGAGCCGTTGAATAACCCAAATCGAATAAGTAAACAAATATACGTATTTGTACTGGAATTGTTCAGTACAAAACCTCTACCGATGCGTTCACTCTTACTGCAGTCTCTATGATATACATTGTGAATATAACTAATTCTACCTTCTCTCACCAGTTCTGCCAATGATCATTTCTTTTCCGACGGCGAAACCAAGGACTGGGGCAAGGAACAAGGCTGTTCACCTCGGCACAATATTGCTTCAGGCAGCGCTACCGGACTTGAGGTGTTCCTGGAGAAGATTCCTGAATGGGACTCTCTCGGAGAAGGGCAAATTGACCCCAACGGAGCTCGGGTTAATGCTTTTCCTTCAACCTTTCTTTTCTACGTCACCACTTCCTCACCTCGAACGAGATATCTCGCTTAGAATCACTGACCACGTGCTTTGAATAAGACGCCAGTGTTTGATATCACTGGAAGTATGCTTTTCTTGACAACACATATTAGATTTTAATTTGTATTATGACCGTCAACACAACACAACGAGAGGTATGGAAATATCTTCAATGGAAATAGTAGATGTTAATGTTCATTTCACTTATTTATTACAGATTAGCTATACTACATGTTTCGACCACAATTCGGTCATCATCATGTCTTAAATGAACCTATCTCAAGTAATTAAACACATTGGGTACAATACGGATCTGTACTAGTTAACAGATTGCTGCGTTGTAGCAAATATCTTTGGAATATATTCGCAATATTAAAAAGATAAGTTGTTTCACAATTGAAAGTCATAAGGAATTTACTATATAAAAGAAGACAGAATTCAACACGAAGTGGCAAATGACATAACGGTAGCACGTGGATGTATGTGAGGCCCTAACTGGTCTGAAACCCCGCCACTTCCATTACATGTCAAGGTATGTCACCATTTATCGAGTCTTAGCAAGGTCACCTTAGGGCCGCGCCATAGTTCAAGCGGTTAGTTGCTGGCTTTCCACCTCGGCGACCCGGGTTCGATCCCGGGGTCTGATCAAGTGGGATTTGTGGTGGACAAAGTGGCGCTGGGGCAGGTTTTCTCCGAGTACTTCGGTTTCCCCTGCCAATCTTCATTCCGCGAATTGCTCCACAATCACCCACATCTATCATCTGGGGCTGGTACAATATGCCAGAAGTGGCCGCAGTACAAGGACTTAGACCCACCCCACTAGCAATAAAAATGAGGTCACCTTATATCTTTTCCTAGTACGCACTGACACAAGTGAACTTATTATCAGACCTGACCAGAATCGTATCTTAAAGTGCATTCCTAAATTTTCGGATGTGGCGTCCGAAACAAATTATTTTGGAATACTGCACACCTGCCTCGTGTTACATGACACTCATGGGTCACTGATTCTCAGTTAAATTCCCCTTCTACATAGTCCGAACCACATTTCTCATTCTCTCACCGTCTCTGTCTCTTTGTCCCTATCTCGATCTGTCTCCACTTCTCTCTCCCATTTCCCCGCAATATTCCACCCATTTCTTCTCTTTCTGCATCTCCCCCACTCTTTCATGCTTCTATTAACCGAATCGCTCATTTTGATTCTTCCAATGGCAGACTAAACACGACCACAAAATATGGATCTAAATGATTTGGCTGTCGTGTGTTACGATGGGGGAATCGTTCAAGTCTCTGATGCCTTCGAGCGCCAAACCTCTGATCACTTCTGGCCCCAATAGATCATCCAAAAAGGAGTAATCCCAGAATGCTCCAATAGTACGTCTCCCTGGCCAGTTTTGTTATGGTTTTCTTGCTCCATCTCGTGAGATCAGCAACAGTTACCATTACACAGCGTAAGCCCAGTAATAGAACTGTGAAGAGGCTACTACCTTCCTCCTTTCTCATTTACTGTGACCATCTAACCACTGTTTCGCATTCTTACCTTTATACTATTATACTAAGTTATCCATAACTTCCTGGTTCTGGGAATATAAAACCCAGAATTCCCTCCTTAAGGGTTCTGAAGATGATGTATTAAACTAGTGAACTTTGAGGGTAGGTCTACCTAATTGAACAAACTGAACAAGTGCTTACCCATCCCGTCACCTGAGAGCGAAAACACTTCTGAGATTTTGTGTTCTTTTAGAATACTAGACGATGGACATAGTCCATAACATATGTAATCCCAGCTAAATTTCAATGTTTACTTATGGAGGGTTGTGCCATTATAAAGCCATAGAATTTTTTTTCCCTACTTAGTAAAAAGTCCGTTAAATAGTTCCTCCTAAAGAAGGCGTAAGAAAATAGTTCAACAAAACCCTTGCCCATTCAGCATCTCAGCACAATTCAGCCACCGTTTAGACTATATTACTACATTTACTGGAACCGTGTTCCACGTTATAGCAATAGGGAGCAAGTGCTGCATTTCAGCTTAGGTAGGGTACTCCCCGCAAGGTTGTCACCTGTCCAGTGCACAATCATGTTGGCATCTGTTTACTTTCTTTCGGGACTTATATGATAAACATGAGCAGGTTGTGTTGATTTTAAAGAGCATAACTCGGGTGCTCTACAAATAATTAGAGGGCATATACAAGTAAACGCTCTTCCAGAACAAGTGAAGTGCCAACAGTTTCAGATTCCATCTACTTATAATGAATGTAGTGGGGGGAACTAGAAATAGAAAATTGAATTCTGTAGGAACGAAGACATCAGTTTGTAAGACATGGGCCCTCTATACCTTCCACACTTCAACAATATTTAGTTTACTTTCCTTATTTCGAAAAAATGAAGTTGGCTTATAAAACCAAAACGTTTATTGTGAGTCTCCGCATCACTGCCCCCAATCAATTTTCGAATCTTTAATAAACTTCGTATGTAAATTATAGCATTTGAGTCCATCTCAACGGCGTGCTTCCCAAATCCTTCCCATCAGTCTGTGTATCTGTGTGTGTATCCCCTATCATTCACAGGCAACGGCTCGGTAAAAACGTTACCGAGGCAACGAATAGACAAGCAACAATAGAAGAATTCTTGGACGCTTCGTTTTCTATGTCGTCCGTGTCTTATGGAAGGAAGGAGATTAGCTTTCTCCCAGAACTTTTTAGTTACAGATACTGTGTTAGTAATGTAGCCAGGCTTCTCAATTTAGGTTGTCGTTCGTCTAGATTATGATTCATCATCCGAAGGCTCCTCCAGAGTCTGGTAAAAGCATATATATGCCTGAGAAGATCGCGTCAACTTTCGCTGTCAAGATATCCCCAGTGGTGACAGAATGTTCTCCTGAGGTGCGAGGGTTGGATATGTCGATTAGAAACTGCATGTTTCCGGATGAGCATCACATCAAATACTTCAAGACCTATACGCTTCAAGGCTGCCTCATTGAATGCAGAATGAATTGGCTCATCAGTAAATGTAGATGCCACCCTTACTTCTACGACTTTGAACAGGGTAAATATACGTAACTGATGTTATTAGTAACTATTAGCCTGTAATGTGGGTCTGCATTTTGTGACATTTGAAATTCGAAGGTTATGTAATTCTGAAAATTGATTCCTCATAATTGTAAAGTCTAACAAGATAATCAGATAATTTTCATTGTATTTTGAGGAGTTGAGCGTTATTATTTCTTACTGGATGTATACTATTATTAATTCCCTGTACATTGCGATTGGTGTCATGTTTGACCTAAGCGCAATTCCTGCTAACCACTAAGTTGAGTGGAATCGCTGGGTTGGACGTACAGAGATCTGGTGGTAGGCATTTCTCAGTGACTGACGGTCAGTCAGTGAGTCAGTCTTGGGCTCATGACCAGATATTTATTACTGTTTGACAGTTAAGGTCTTGTTTTTGTGGGGCGCCCTCTCTAACGAGAGGACGGGTCTGTCGTTTGTATATGTTGTTGGTCTTTGTCAGCGCAGTCTTTCTCGGGTCCAAGTCCCTTGGGACTCGCGACGATATTTTACAGTCTCAGATCTGAGACTTCCCTTTTCATCGCCTCCTACGACTCGCAGGGTCACGGTGGAGGTATTCGACCCCGCCTCCACACGGGTCGTCCCAACAACTGAAATACTAGGACTCCTTATAAAACTCCAGCATTCACCTTATAGAAACCTTCTCTTCCATTCATGTGTGTTTTCTAGTTGACTAGGAAACGTGTCCACAGAGCTGTTCCCTACCAACGGCTGTTGTACGGCCGCGTATTTACACAGCTGTTACTTGGCAATGTGTCTGCATGTCACAATATATTCCTTCATTCTTTTCGTCCTTGTGAGGAGTGTGACCAGTAGTTGTCAGACCCCTTCTCTCTTCTGAGGCCCCATTTTAAAACACATAAATCTTAGAAAGAACAGAAATGACGTCATGGCTCCCGACTGTACCCGAAACCGAGAATGGCTGTGCTGGCGAGACCAGAAGCAATTTACCCGACCAATCGATCGATTTTCTCTCGATTATATGATATTTTCTGACGTGATCCAGCCGAGTTTGTTTGATTTTAGAAAAAACATATTGTTGCTTAGATTTTGTTGTAGCGTACATTCATACCTCGACTCTCAGCAACTTAACTGTCCACACGTTCAACAACATTGCTGAGAAATATTACTAAGAAAATGATATTATTTCATATATACGTAGGCATATTCTTTTCCCAACAGGTGGTGCTCCTGAATGTAATATTTCAGAACTGCCGTGTTTAGCGCTTGAAAACAGTAAGTGCATTTTACTTCATAAGTTCACAGGAATTATTATTACTGTCTTTGTACATACCGGATTCATAATGCATAGCACAAAACCTGACTATGTAACATCATGGAGTTTAGTAATAATAATACAAAACAAGTTCCTACCTAACATAACGCAAGGATGGAAACTTGAATTAAGTTAATCATTTTACATAATATTGTCAGAAATATCCATATACGTAATATTTATACTCCCTTCGCAACCTCTACAAATTGCTTAGCTCAAAGATCATACTTCCAAAATTATAGCACCAGTGGCGTTGGATCTTCATAAATATTGACAAATAAATATGTCGGCCGCAATATTCAAAAGAAGTTCATTGAAACTTAGCCAAGGGTCAAACCAGTTTCACCGAAATATATCTAGAAGTTCAAAACTGGCACAACTGGCTGCCTGTCACTTCTCAAACCCTCGAACCCACCCCCTTTTCTGAAAATTTTCTTCTGCGCATTCAAGGTTACTCTTGACCTTGTTCGAAGTTACGTGACACTTGCTTTAACGTGTACAGAGACAGTACCTCTCGATTCATTGTTTTGATATTTGTACCTTAACTTGTCAAAAATATTATAATTTGTATATAATAAGTTACATATTAATGGGAGAAGGATTTATGTTAAAAGAGGGCTTAATTAATTATTACTGGAAGTTAAAAAAAACAGTCACTCATAAACCCCATAACTCTGAAACCTTCTTTACCTTTAGATATAGTACTTCTTAATTGAACTCACGGAAGCAAATCTCATACTTACTCAAGCAATTTTTGTTCTCTTTCAGCTAATCTACGAGTATATAATCCACCACCTGGATACCAGAAACTGAATTCGGAGAACGCATCAGCAGTACTGAATTGCTCCGACTGCTTACCCCCATGCCACGACAACACTTTTCTTGTGGATTATGATATGGTTCCTGATACTGACCCTACTACAAAGGAAAGCACTGGCCACATTGACGTTTTCTATAAGGAGATGGGCGCCATCAAGTATCGCCGAGAGAGAGCATTCACTTTAATGCAACTAATTGGTTAGTACCCACAAAACAGACAACTATGCGCACTGACTACAGAAAGTAATTCCGTCTCCAGTCCTTACCATGCTATGAACGAGGCATTTCAAGAAATTCTCAGTTCTAAGCAGCTGCAAAATTTGAGAGTATAGACGAAAAAAAAATTTCCTGCTGTCTCTAGAAAATAAGAAGGGATTTTAATTCAGTTCAATTTTTTATTAATTGTGTGCCGAGTCAACAGCTACAAAGACAATTACAGACAGAGCACAGTGTAGATACTGGTAACTACATTATGGACAATCACTACATAAAATCAAAAACAAATTACAGGCAAACACTGGAGGAAAACACATTAATACAGAAGAAGTGAACAAAAAAAAAACGAAGTAATAATACTAATAGTAGTAGTAATAATGATGATGATGATGATGATGATGATGATAATAATAATAATAAATAAATACGGAAAGTGCTACAGTGTGAAGCTTGAAGCCTGAGTGGTGAGGTGCATCACTGGTTCAAGAAAAGGAATACCAGGAAATAAACCTGTGACAAGAGATGATGATAATAATAATAATAATTTGATTAACACAGATCTAAGTTGTCACTGAGAATGGAGAAATATAAAGTATAAATATTTAGAAAGAATAATAATAATAATTCAATTCAAGTCTTGTTTGTATACGTGAAAACTTAACAGCACAGAGGCCAATTATATAGTTAGTACGAGTACGTAGAAGGACACAAAAATAATTAACAAACAAAATAATAAATAAGACAGTTTATATAATAATAAATTAAACACTACGCCATAAAGACGTATGGGGTCTTGGACGTACAGCTCCACCAATCTTAACTTCGGCAATATCTGGAGCTAAGTGCTCAACTTCACGTCTCTGCAGCTTTAATCCCAGGGAACAACACCAGTCTCTCTTGTATAGGAGGCCGGTTGGGTCCCAGAGCCGATCTGGACGTTATGCACAAGAGGAAATCTCTCGAACTCTGACTCCTGGTACGCCCAGCCCACAGCTTAGTCACTATATCGACTGAACTACAGAAATGGAAAAGAATAGATAAGGGAAGTTAACAGTACGAAAGATAATGTACCTGTATTTCCAGTGGTTATGGTATTATGTGGTGAGAAAGGATTATATGCGTACAGTCACACCTAGAAGGCAACAACAATAACAGTAACTTAATTAATTCTTACTTATTTGTATGCTACGAGTAACTCAACATCCAAATAACAATAATAATAAAATATATAGCATGTTGTAAAACACGATTGAGGAGAACGTTCCTGACTCCGAACACGACAACGTCCCTGCATACATTAGCAGCTGCTGCACATCTAGCAGAGGGACAATTTTTACATGAGGAGCAGACATTGAACAATGCAAAGTCTCTGAAATACCGAGCAAGAACTCGGAGACCAAGATTTTCCAAAACGGAAGGAAAGAATTTAGAACCAAGCTAAACTTGATTAATCGAGGCGATGCGTCCGCATAAGTAGAGTGTGCACTTTTAACTCCTCCGGCAAAAGAGGATAACAATAACAAACTTGAGGAAAGAAACGATTAAAACAGAGGGCCGCAAACCTCTGCTGGATGCCTTCCAGCTTGTTGGTGTCAGTTGACGTAATTAAATGCCAGACTACGGACGCGTATTCAAGCTTATATCTAACTAATGCAGTGTATAATCTGAGCATACAGTCTAGAGATGAGAAATTGAAAGTAATGCTACGAACTAGACTCAATAGCTTAATAAAATGAGAGAAAATATAAAGAAAGCAGTCTTCTGGAATTTGGCACCGTGTATATGTGGTGTTAACCGACGTTTCGGAGGAACGTATCACCTCCATCTTCAGGGTAGAAGAAAAAATAAGAACTCTGCAAGCGAAGAGACCGTGAGAACCGGTAAAAGCAGACTGTGTAACACAGTCGCAGATTTCTTATTTGTTCTTCTACCCTGAAGATGGAGGCGATACGTTCCTCCGAAACGTCGGTTAACACCACATATACACGGTGCCAAATTCCAGAAGACTGCTTTCTTTATATTTTCTCTCATTTTATTAAGCTATTGAGTCTAGTTCGTAGCATTACTTTCAATTTCTCATCTCTAGACTGTATGCTNGTAAATACTCCGACATCTTTTATAGAGTCGGTCTGATTTGTAGAGGATTCACAGAGTTTATAATCGTAGATCAGTACATTAGCCTTCCTGGAGAAGGATATAACTTTAGTTTTACTGATTTTGAGTTTCATACAGTTAGTAATGCACCGATGTTGTATAGAGTTAATGTCAGACCGAAGTAGATTGCGGTCCTGAGGAGATTAACTGCTCAGTACATTTTTACATCGTCATCAAAAAGTATATATTTAGAGTGGGCAACTGCATCTCATATGTCGTTAATAAACATATATCCCAGGAAAGATCCCTGAGGAATACCGGAGAGAACTTCAAAAGGTGAGGAAAGAACACCAGAAACTCGGACCTGAGATTGATTACAGTTATAACTCTATGAACATATGTATATGCATATACGTACTGCTCTATTTTATTGTTAATAATTTATTCCGATAAATTAGGAAAAACTTAATTTCCGCCAATTTAACGAAAACAAAATCATGTTGGAAGAACAGTAACAAATTTTATATTTGGTTTGGAACTAAAGGCAGCACGGGAAGAGTTAATTAAAATTACACGGCGTCACATTCCAGAAGATCGTAACCTACAAGAGTAAACTTTCATTTCCTTAATTTAAATTTCATTCCTTCCTTAAGACTTTATAGCTATTATGTGTTGTTATACTGAAAAGGACCGCGACCATCTTGGAGGCTACAAAGGATACTTCTGCTAGTACAAAATAAATGAATTTTAATTTTATAAAATAAAATTTCAGTATTTTACATTAAAACGAAACTAATTTAATTAAGTGTTGCCTGTTTCAATGTGTTTTGTTGCTTTCAGTTTCCTTTGGTGGAATCATGGGTTTATTTCTTGGAGTCAGCTTACTGAGTGGTATTGAAGTCATCTACTATGTTATCAGAATTTGCAGAGCAATATATATGCATACTGTAATTCAACGAGGAAGGAAACAAGAACCAGCGACAGTCAGATTTCTTGTTCCAAATAACAAAGTCTCGGGATTTAAAGCTCTTTCACTTTTGTCACCCATAGAACCGAATTATACCAATCGTCGCCTCGTGAACAATTAAAATGTGTCGAGCAAATTGTAAATACAGAGATATGTATTTTATAATGAAGAGTGCGGTCATGTGGTTTGTAACGCCGTGTAAGTTGGAGGAATCCCGAATTACACTGAGTTACGACCCAGAAGACCATAGCCACTTCTACGAGAACCTCAAATCGAACATACGGTATTTACAGTGGTTCATTTGAGATTGTATTTTCGATACGAAATGATACTACGCACTTATAAAACAAAGCAAAGATCTCTCACGTTGAATACGACCATCTGATTAATGGTTTATGATGTACGTGAAATGTTCATTTATGATCTGATATAAATCTGGCTTTGTAATCTGTCAATATGGCATACAATCAAAATGGCTGACTAATGTACGCTTAGGTACATCTCTAGCACGAAATTTCATCACAATTTCATACTCGGTATAATATACATGAAATAGTCCTTGTATCAGTTCGGGCACTGATACAGTTGAACAGGTTTGGTGTTCATATAAGAATTCCAAAAAGAATCTTAATAGCAGTGTCCCCAATTCCCACTTCTCGCACTAAAATAATGGCACTATCATTTCTAAGAAAAACAGTAACACTAACTACACTGATATAGGAGACAACAAGCAACAACACGAAGTACTGGTGTGATTTCTTGGTAATAAACAACAGCAATTCTTAACAGTTTTATCGTATGGCTTTAACGCTGTGTATCCCCCTGAAAGTCAACCGACTCGTTGGAGGAAAATGTCGCCTCCACCTTCAGTGTCAAAGAAGAAACCAAGCAATAAACCAGCACGAGCATATTCGACCTTGAAAATGGAGGCGAATTACGACCAGACACCGGCTATCATGGTTTCACGGTTTTCCTTAGCCGTCCTAAGCGGATACCATGAAATTACCTCGATTAGGCTATGAAGGCTTTCTACCAAATGTTTCCAGTTCATGAACCATCTATCACCCTACCATCTGATGCTACCTAGCTTTGTTATAGCCCAGCTACTGACAGCGTAAAAGAATAAACTTTATAAAAATACGAGCAAGTGTTGGGTCTATAAACCTTCTCCACCACATACAGCAAATTACTGTCCATGAAGCGTTCACCAGGCTTGAACCTTGCTATCGATTTAGCCAAATGGAAAAGTATCACGTGTAGCGTGATCCAAACTGGACATACAGACTCGGTTCCAGGCTCAGCTCTGAAACTCTGTAAAGAACTCGACTCAGCTATCGCAGGTAGTGGAAACACTTTCCCATCCCCTCACATTTCCCTCTAGAGTCGCCTATGACTACTACACAAAGTTTTCAACCACTCTTGTGAACTAAAGTGTTCCTTTAACTTTTAAAAATAAACAGTGGAATTTTCCGCAATACCGCCCTCGGAGTTACGTTCTTCTGCAATAACGCTCTTAGAGCTAAATTCATCCTCACCGTTTGTAATTATTTTTCCACCAGCCACACTGGCGGTACAAAACATAGGTGTCTCTCACCTCACCTGAGGACGGAAACAGACCCAGTCTCCGAAAACTTGTGTTCTATAGTGTTTAGGGAAGATGGGCAAAGTCCAGAAATCCAGTAATTCTGTGTAACTCAATGCCGTTTATTTCTCGTTACAGCGTAATTTGTCTGAGTTAAGATATTTTTTGTGCGGTCTTCCATTTTTAAATTTCTGATTCAGGTACATTGCAGTCGTATTGTCCACACGAACTATCACATTTCCATATGTTTTAACCTGTTAGTTTCAAGTATATTCTAAAGGTTTCCGACGACGGCATATGACACTCAGGATTACTGGGTTTTTGGACATGGCCCATCATGCGGTATTCTAAATAATACTATAGGACACAATGTTTCGGAAACTGGATACGTTTCCGTCCTTAATGTGAGGGGAGGGAGCCACCTACTGTGTTGGGTCCCTTATAAGGGGCAAGTTGAATCAACTGGAAGGAATTTCACAAGGCTACACCAGTTGGCAAGCACCATAGTGCTGGTAGTAACTACATGCAGGGCTGGAGGTGGGGCGGGATGGCATCCCGGTTCTTTTCTAAATGGCTTACAAGCATCCTGTTACTTCTTTGGCAGTAAATGCAATGTACAATACCTTTTTTGTTAAAAGGGGAAAACCATCCCGGTTCTATTTTCATTTCACCTCAAGCACTGACTACATGTCTGATATCCCTATACACAGTTGTGTCACAACTGGTTCTATCCTTCTTTTGCATTTCATTTGTTTCATTCTGGTCTGTCACACTAACAATATTACAAATGATAAAACAATTCTGTCCAGTGTGACTGATGAAGTTGTAAGAACTTTGGATTTTGTACAAAGTGTATATTACAAATATTGTATATTTATATATTTTAAAAATCAAAACACCCAATGTAATAGTTGTTTCTAAAAGTATTGATGTTCCCTCCGATGATGGTCTACAGGGACCGAAACATGTTAGGGTGCAAGAAGTGAAGTAGTAAAAGCTTCAACAGTCACACTAGACGGAATTGTTTTATCATTTGTAATTCTTTTTGCACACTTTAATTTCTGGTATTCTCATAGTTCTGGATTTAAAACTGTGCTGTAAATCATAACATCGACTGCTTACAGCATTTCCCATCTTGATTCATTCACTGGCTTAATATTTCCCTGTTGTCAAAGCAACTGGTTATTAAAAAAAATCTGGCCTCATCAAAAACATGACCATCAACATTAAAATTCTTTCTAGGTTGGGCAAGTTTCTCATAACCCTCAGGCACTTGGTTTTATCTGCATTCAATTCCAGACCAGCTCTTAATGCTTCACCCTTCAGTTGCGCTACTGCTTCTTCGATCGCTATCACATACAGTATAATATAAGTATCACATCGCCTGCATACACAGTGTGTCCTGGTTCTGCTAGGACTGTGTTCATTAAAAATACAAGACGTGAATTATTTCCAAAATTTCACTCTTCTTATTCAAAGTAGTCTCCTTCTGAATCAATACATAGCTAGAATCAAGTGAAAAGTTCTCGAAAACAGTCACTGTACTACTGTTGTAGAATCGCATTTAAAACTGCGGTAGATTCCCTTTGGATGTCCTGGATGGTGTCTGACGGTCTCCTTTCATCGCCAACTTAACTTTTGGGAACGACCAGAAATCTGCTGGAGCCAAGTCTGGCGAATACGGAGGATGATCAAGGACTGTGATCCCTTTTCCGGTCAAAAAATCGTAGTGCGCGATCTTCGATTTGTGGGGTGGGGCAGTGTCGTGGAGGCGCGACTAGGAACCTTGCTCTCAATATTCAGGTCGAATTCAAAGAATTCTCACCCACAAACGATTAAGGACTCCGAGATAATAATCAGAATTCATTTTTTGACCTTCTGGCAGAAATTCCTTGTGAATGATTCCTTTGGAATCAAAGAAAACGGTTAGAAGTGTCTTTACTCGACTCTTCTGCATGTACACTTTCTTTGGTTCCGGCTTCATTGGGCTCAGCCACTCTGCACTCTGCCGCTTTGTCTTTGCAGTGTTCCACTCTGGCATGTTTTTCATCCGTCGACAGCACGTGCGGTAGGAACTGCGCACAGACCTTCCGTTTGCCCAAATCCTCGGTCAAAATTTGATCCACAGTACTTTTTGGTATTCCCAAAAGCTCCTCGATAAGTCTTGCAGAAACACATCTGTCTGATGCAAGGAATTCGGTCACCTTTTTTCATATTTTCTTCTGTGTCACTTGTTCTCAGCTTTGATGCGCGTGGAGTGTCTTCAATGTCCTCCCTGGCGTCACAAAATATAGCATACCATTGAAAAATGTTCGAGCGACTCAAACAATCACTACCGTACACACCTTTCATCATTTCGTACGCTTCTCCGGCTGTTTTGCAAAACTTCAAACAAAATTTGATGTTAGCTCTCTGTTCAACTGCCATTTTCCGACAAGCGTCAGAACAATACTGTTACATTCAAGGTCAAAACACATGATGCAGCGATGCTTGTGCTTTGAAATTATAGACAGCCACAGTTGAAACTTCAAGAATCTTCACGCCACAACTCGCCAACAGATGGCATTGCAGGGCAAAATTTAAAAAATTAGTCCTAACAGACCCTGGACACACCGTGTATGCTAATTACTGTCTTGTTTTATTGAAAATTGTACCATTAGGGCTGGTTTGAATATTCCACAGTGTTATAAATACAAACGTAGTAAAAACTTGTATGTCACATTGGATGGAGTAGTTTGTACAATATTTATAATTGTTAGTGTCAGACCAGAATGAAACAACTCAAATTTATTCCATAGTACTTTCTCAAAAAGAAAAGAATTGTAGAAAAAGCATTCCCTTGCCTCCTAAGTCCCATTTTCACATAAATATTTCTTGATAGTTTTCACCTTATAGTTAAAGAACATAAGGGTAATTTCTCACCAGGTGAACCAGTTTCTTGGGGACCCCAAATTCCCTTAAAGTTTAAATACCTATTCTCCAGCTACCATATCCTCAGCATGCTAAACATCAATTAACAATAAAAGTCAACACCAAACTCGACCACCTTCCATTACCAATCTCAATGCAAACAGCTGACTAGTAGTTGTACATTCTCTTCTAAGACCACACTGGTAGTCCCTTACGACCTCTTCTGCATACAGAGGCCTATTCATTGGCTACTGCTGTTCTTGTACATTGTGCCACCAGCCTCTCCATTGGCCATGGTTTGCATGTCCTTGTATTTCCTGTCTTATCCATTAGAATGCAGCAGGAACCATTAAAATGTACAGTGTAAACCATCTGTTCGCATCTTGCTTTGGATCTACAATCGATATTGCTCAATTTTTATTTACAGTAATCCTGAACCTACCAAATAGTCTGTTCTGCAGTGCATAAAGTGTACAATGCAGTTTTTCTGGAGTGTGGATGATGGTCATGATTGTCAAGTATTAAATCAAACAGATGGATCTTCATGTGAAAACTATGTTGTGGTGTCACATGATGTGAGGAAACAATAATAAACTTTCAACTTCTTTATTAAAACCATCACAACACAACTATATAGTTGTGTAATGTAGTTGTGTTGTGATGGTTTTAATAAAAAAAGTTGTATATTATAACACATCAGGATGCAAGAAATGAAAAAAATAATAAATTTCAGCTATAGCAAAATTAATTTGCATGGGTCACACTCATAATGTAGACCGTGCAGATATAAATTCAGCAAGTATCCTTTCAAATCTCACCAAAAATTGCCATAGAAATTTTCACATAAAATAAAAATAAAGAAGTACAGATTTTTCTAATCACATCTAAAACCCTTATGAAAATTATATCCCAATAAATAAAAAGTTATTCTTTGAATCACCCCCAAAACTTTAATGCAAATTATAATATCTATAAAAAATAACAATAACAAATAAATAACTACAAATCCAGTGATGCTCTCTAACAGGTATGTAGAATTTCATGCTCAGAATAAATAATGAGCAGGAAATGTTATCCATACCAATTATTCTGTTTCCAGAATATATTATAACAATTAAAACATGTTCAGTCACAATCTCTCATACAAGTTCCATTATAAAGTGGGTAATTTGAAACATGGATCATATTTCTGTCCGTCATGCCTCCTTGCAATGCCAATGTTATAATGTTTTAGCTAATTTCAAGAATCTTCAAGATGTACAGGTGTGCTGTTCATGAAGAAACTTCATGCTGTGTTCATGATTTTGTACACATGTACAAACTGTTCTGGTATCTGAAATGCAAATTGATACACATTACATATACATACATCCTAACACAAAGAATCTTACAGCAAAAATATATGGTTTGCATGGGCAACATGCTGAGTTGTTTACACATTCTTAACAAATATAGCATCAGGCCGGCAAATAAACATACATCTATACAATCCATACAAAATAACATCTGTATGGAACATCTTAATGCAATTAAAACTTACAAGCAGGGTGAATTTATGGTCTTGCAATCTAGATATGATTACAGATATGGAACTCTCATTTACTTATTTACATCGTGTAATTCATAGGTATATTCAATGTTTCTTATTCATAATCTGGTTGCCATTAGAACATCTGGCAGCTCTACAAGCAGACTCTTTTTGCCTTACATCATAATATGTACGTCATCTAATAAAATATGTTTAAAATAATCCTTAATTTTTTCATCTTTTGTGTTTTATATTAAGCTCCCAGGAAAATTGTATTCTACTTATTTATGGCCATCAGTGCAATTATATCTTGGTTAGCCAATATTTTATTTAAAATTAATTATATGTGTGACCTATTTGGTCACGTTCGGGTATGACAATGGCAGAAACGTTAATTAGTGAAAACAACAACAAAAAGACTCAATAAATTCAGTGAATAATATTTTTGCCATTTCAGCATCTTAGAAGTTTCAAATAGGTTGAAACATGCAGCAGAGTTTAAGTAAAATATTAAAGGTAAAGCTAAAGCTATTCCCGTAACAGGCCATGGAGACCCATAGGTTTGTAAGGCATCAAGACGCCCACATTTTCTGGACATTCTGCTCACAGATGGTCGTGAGGCTCTCAGCTATACGCACTGTCCACCCTTTACACCCAGGAAAATTCTTTGTACTCATTTCTGCTAGAGGCGGAGTTAAACCCAGGGCCACATTGTGGCTGAAAGGATTAGGCCAATTGAAAAATCCAATAACCTTATCAGGAATCAAACCCAGAACCTTCTGGCTTGTAGCATAGTGCCTCAACCAACTATGCTAGTGCATGCCCCAAATAATATATTAGATACCCAAAATGCAGATGTGAAGATCATAAAAAAGTAAAATACAATTGTACTGATGGCATGTTTAAAATGACTGCTTTATCTTCTGACAAAAAATTAAGATGAAGAATTCTATCACCTGGACCACTTAGTCCACTGAAAGCCAATCAACATTTCAGAGGAACATATCACCTCCAACTTAGGGTTCAAGAGTAAGCCAAGCAAGAATAAGAATGAAGCAGGCAGCAAGCATAACAAGAATGTTTCGTGCTGGTTTCTATTTTGACCTACTTTTAACCCTGAAGACAAAGGTGACATATTCCTCAGAAAGTCTGTTGACAGC